AAATCAATCATTACAAAGGTAGCTGGCCTTGTACAAGTTAGAGGGTGACCTTGGAAAATTGTAGAATGGCTGTTGTGCAAGGTTGCAGAGCCCAGGTTGCACGCCCCTACTAATCCCAGTTTAATTTTCCCAACAGATCTCTTTTATGAGCGTCCAACCAAAGAACACACATAGATGGATATGGCAAACTCATGGTCTCGAAGCAAAACTTGTTACCTTGTTACTTGGCAAATAGGATCGAGTTATAACCAAAAGTACCGCACAGAGGACCTCCCCCACATTCTCTGCATGAGAATGAAGAGGCTGTCTTCAGCTCAGAGCAAAGATAACCCTAGATACCTTGATAGCCTATGCAAATAGCAGCAAAGGTGAAAGAGACACTGTGGACCGTGAAGGTCACCTTGACCACACATGCATATGCATATCCAGAAAACATGCATGGAAAGCTATTGCAAAGACATGTCTCCTGAGCTCTACTGTTTCTCATTCCAAGGCTGATGTATACGATATTTTTGCCACAACTTAGGTCATCTTTCATATAATCACTGAAATTTAGTATCTGCAAAGGCAAGACACTAAATTTGCAAAGCAACTAGTTTATAACTCAGAATCCTACATGTGCTCAGTGCTTTCCAACTTGTGTAGAGAGGTGTACAACAGACCTGAAGGGAGATGCTGATCACTGGGTCTTCTATGGATGATAGCTCGAAGGCTACCAAGGGATTAAGTGACTGGTTAGAAAAAAGCAAAGAGCCGGGCGCAGTATCTCATGCCTGTAATCCCAGCACTTGGGAGGCCGAGACGGGTGGATCACGAGCTCAAGAGATCGAGACCCTCCTGGTCAACATGGTGAAACCCCGTCTCTACTAAAAACACACAAAAAATTAGCTGGGCATGGTGGCGCGTGCCTGTAGTCCCAGCTACTCGGGAGGCTGAGGCAGGAGAATTGCTTGAACCCAGGGGACAGAGGCTGCGGTGAGCCGAGATCGCGCCATTGCACTCCAGCCTGGGTAACAAGAGCGAAACTCCGTCTCAAAAAAAAAGAAAAAAGCAAAGAATGCCCTCCTTTGAATCCTAGTAATGGAAGACTGCTTTTGTTTCTAATCAGGAAAAAAAAAAAAAAGTGGTTCCCAAGACTTTCTATTGTGATTCTAGCCCCAGAGGTTTTACCCCAGAAAGACTAGCTGAAACCATTTAAGTTAGTGTCTGTCCCAGGCTCCGCTGTGATTTCCTCCAGAAGTTGCAATCTCAGGTTGGAAACAGGGAAGGAGGCTACATTCTGAGCACCTCTCTGACAGGGAAGTTTTTCGTTGTTGTTGTTGTTGTTGTTGTTGTTTTGAGACAAAGTCTTGTTCTGTCACCCAGGCAGGAGTACAGTGGCTTACACTCAGCTTACTGCAACCTCCGCCTCCCACGTTCAAGCTTTTCTCCTGCCTCAGCCTCCTGAGTAGCTGGCATTACAGATGAGCACCACGCCACTACACCCAGCTAATTTTTGTATTTGTTTAGTAGAAACAGGGTTTCACCATGTTGGCCAGGTTGGTCTCGAACTCCTGACCTCAAGAGATCCACCCAACTTGACCTCCCAGTGTTAGGATTACAGATGTGAGCCACTGTGCCCAGCAGGAAAGTTGTTTGTTTGTTTGTTTCTTGAGTCAGGGTGTCACTCCATTGCCCAGGCTGGAGTGCAGTGGTGTGATCTCACCGCAACCTCCACCTCCCTCGTTCAAATGATCCTCCCACCTCAGCCTCCTGAGTAGCTGGGACTACAGGCATGCACCACCACACCCGGCTAATTTTTGTATTTTTTGTAAAGGTGGGGTTTTGCCAGGTTGCCCAAGCTGATCTTGAGTTCCTGAGCTCAAGCGATCCTCCCACCTTGGCCTCCCAAAGTGTTGGGATTACAGGTGTGAGCCACGCAACAGTCCAAGAGGAAAGCATTCTTAAGGATCCTTGGAAACACCTGGGTGCTAAATGGTACCAGAATCTTCCAATGAAAATTGAGTAAGGACAGGTGGACAGAGGTATACCTCAAGGCATCTATTCCTCCAGAAAATCTTTCAGGAAATTATTTAAATTAGTTTTTCTTGCATAAAGCAGGATGGCACATTTCAGAATCCTCACCCCTTACCTCAGTGCCTATTTTCCACATCTAACAGGGTTTATGGAACATTTTCAGGGTCCACAGGATCTATCTGGTTTGAATCCATTGTTCATACCTGATTGTCTTTGACCTACAAAAAAGGCAGTTTCAGGTAGTTTATCCTGATATAAAACATCTCCGGTGAGCAAGGGAAAAGCTACAGAACAAAACTGAAAGCTGGTTCTGTGTGTTAAAGATAATGGGTTTGTGCATTTGTTTTAGAAACACACAAATAGTGGAGGCCAGGCCTGGTGGCTCATGCCTGTAATCCCAGCACTTTGAGAAGCCCAAGTGGGTGGATCACTTGAGGTCAGGAGTTTGAGACCAGCCTGGTCAACATGGTGGATCCCCATCTCTGCTAATAATATGAAAATTAGCCAGGCGTGGTGGCATTTGCTTGTAGTCCCAGCTACTAGGGAGGCTGAGGTAGGAGGTTAACTTGAACCCAAGAGGTGGGGGTTGAATGAGCTGAGATGGTGCCACTGCACTCCAGCCTGGGTGACAGAGCAAGACTCTGTCTCAAAGGAAAAAAAGAAACACTCAAATAGTGGAGAAATCGAGAGATCAGGGGAAAGATGTCAAGAGACAAGCAAGTGAAATGCTGAGGGGAAGAGAGTGGCTCCGACATGGGTGTAGGACAGTTCCACAGCTAGCTGGGACACAGAAGTGGCCTTGGCATTTAACTGGCATGGAGTCCTTAACTGGAGTCCTTAATGTTTGCGCCTTCAGCTATGGCTGTGACTGTTAGCTAAGCCATGGCTTCTGGCTTTTTATTTTTATTTTTTTATTTTTTGAGACAGAGTGTCGCTCTTGTTACCCAGGCTGGAGTGCAATGGCACGATCTCGGCTCACTGCAACCTCCGCCTCCTGGGTTCAAGCAATTCTCCTGCCTCAGCCTCCTGAGTAGCTGGGATTACAGGCACGCGCCACCATGCCCAGCTAATTTTTTGTATTTTTAGTAGAGACGGGGTTTCACCACGTTGACCAGGATGGTCTCGATCTCTCGACCTCGTGATCCACCCGCCTCGGCCTCCCAAAGTGCTGGGATTACAGGCTTGAGCCACCGCGCCCGGCGGCTTTTAATTTTTTTTAATTTAATGCCATATTTCATGCCGTTTATGTTTCTCTTTCACATGCTGCATCCTTATTTTCCCACTACGACACTTTCTGAGGGTAAGTTCCTGTGCCATCTGTCTCACCCTCTCAGGGCAGGGCAAGCCAGGCACTGAAGTAAGTGCTCAGGAAGTATCTGTAATATGAAATGGACCAGAAACCCATCACGAGGCTGTGTTATAAGGGAGCACAACTGGAAATGCAAACTCCAGGTGGACCAATAATAATAATGTTCCTTTTGGCAGTACCTCCTATGTGGTCTATTCTGTGCTACTTACTTCATGTATATAAATCTGACATCAAACTTCCAGAAGATTTTTTTTTTTTTTTTTAAACAGAGTTTCGCTCTTGTCACCCAGGCTGGAGAGCAATGACAAGATCTCTGCTCATTGCAACCTCCAGCAGTTCTCCTGCCTTAGCCTCCCAAGTAGCTGGGATTACAGGTGCCTGCCACCATGCCCAGCTAATTTTTGTATTTTTAGTAGAGACAGAGTTTCACCATGTTGTCCAGACTAGTCTCAAACTCCCGACCTCAGGTGATCCACCAGCCTCGGCCTCCCAAAGTGCTGGGATTACAAGCGTGAGCCACCATGCCTGGTGGGTATTGCTGTTACTAACCTCGTTCTACAACTGAGAATACTAAGAGGTTTCAGAAAGGTTTAGTGACTTTCCTAAGGTTACACGGTAAGTACATAAATTTCAAGCCTAGGTGTGCTGACCCCAAAGCTCACACTCTTTCCATTGGTCTTCTGCTGTGAGTGGTGCCGACCACCCTTTAATAATCATAACAATAGCTAAGGCTTATATAGAGCTTACTCTATGCCAGGCATGATTCTAAAGCTGTTTACGTATGTTAATTCACTCAATCCTCACAACATCCCTAGGAGGTGGGCTCTATTATTACTCATTTATAGGATTCAGAGCCTGTGCTATCCTGGACTTCTGAATTAGAACCAAAGGGAGATTCTGTAAAATGGTGAAAGATCACTGCTCTGGGCATGGTGGTTCATGCCTATAATCCCAGCACTCTGGGAGGCCGAGGAGGGTAGATCACTGGAGGTCAGGAGTTCCAGACCAGCCTGACCAATATGGTGGAACACCATCTCTACTAAAAATACAAAAATTAGACCAGGCTCAGTGCCTCACACCTGTAATCCCAGCACTCTGGGAGACAGAGACAGGTGAATCATTGAGGTCAGGAGTTCAAGACCAGCCTGGCAACATGGCAAAACCCCGTCTCTACTAAAAATACAAAAATTAGCCAGGTGTGGTGGTGGGCTCCTGTAATCCTACCTATTTGGGAGGCTAAGCCAGGAGAATCCCTTGGATCCGGAAAGCAGAGGTTGCAGTGAGCCGAGATCTCACCATTGCACTCCAGCCTGGGCAACAAGAGCAAAACTTCACCTCAAAAAAATAAAAAATCACTTCTCTGTGTCTTCTTATGTAGAGGAGGAAACCCTACATCCTACCCCAAGAAGGCCTGGAAAGGGAACCAGGCAGAGTAGAAGTAAGACACAGACTAGGCTTCCTGCCAGCCTCCAGCTCTCCTATAGCAGAAATTTTAAGTTGGAAGCACTAGGGGCATAGAGAACAGACTTTGAGGTCATCAGGGCCTCCCTGGCAGCTTTCATCTGAATCACTCTATGTGCTGCATTAATTTTATTCATGAAAAGACCATTTACCAGCCATGTTACAGCCCTTGTAAGTGAGGACGATAAAGATCAATATTATTTTCTTCTTTTAGGCTCATTCAAAAGTTTGGCATAACTACAACACACATTTCCGCCCATATCAGAACGGCTGGTTATCCATCACATTGGGATCTCATTGGATAGAGCCACACCGGTCGGAAAACGTGACGGATATATCCAAATGTCAACAATCCATGGTTTCTGTGCTTGGATGGTTTGCCAACCCTATCCATGGGGACGGTGACTATCCGGAGGGGATGAAAAAGCGGTTGCTCTCCGTTCTACCCCTTTTCTCTGAAGCAGAGAAGAATGAGGTGAGAGGCACAGCTGATTTCTTTGCCTTTTCTTTTGGACCCAACAACTTCAAGCCCCTAAACACCATGGATAAAATGGGGCAAAATATTTCACTCAATTTAAGAGAAGCGCTGAACTGGATTAAACTGGAATACGACAACCCTCGAATCTTAATTGCTGAGAATGGCTGGTTCACGGACAGTCATGTGAAAACAGAAGACACCACAGCCATCTACATGATGAAGAATTTCCTCAGCCAGGTGCTTCAAGGTTGGTTGTAGATTTGCTTAATTTTTTTAAAATTCTGAAAACTTACAGGATATTTAAAGTCACCTTTGAATATGTAACTATTATTGTTGGGCTTTTTTTTTTTTTTTTTTAATAAAATGGGGTTTCGCCCTGATGGCCAAGCTGGTCTTGAACTCCTGACCTCAGGTGATCCACCCACCTCGGCCTCCCAAAGTGATAGAATTACAGGCGTGAGCCACCAGGCCTGGCCCTGGGCCTTTTCTTTTTTTTTTTAATGGAATCTGACTTTGTCGCCCAGGCTGGAGTGCAGTGGCACCATCTTGGCTCACTGCAACCTCTGTCTCCTGAATTCAAGTGATTCTCCTGCCTCAGCTTCCCGAGTGGCTGGGATTACAGGTGTCTACCACCATGCCCTGCTAATTTTTGTATTTTTAGTAGAGACGGGGGTTTCACCATGTTGGCCAGGCTGGACTCGAACTCCAGACCTCAAGTGATCTGCCCACCTCAGTCTACCAAAATCCTGGGATTGCAGGCGTGAGCCACCATGCCCAGCCTGGGCTTTTGTATTGTCCTTTTTTTCTCTCTCTCTTGAGACAAAGTCTCACTCTATGGCCCAGGCTGGAGCACAACAGCACGATCTCAGCTCACTGCAACCTCTGCCTCGCGGGTTTAAGCGATTCTCCTGCCTCAGCCTACCAAGTAGTTGGGATTATAGGTGCCTGCCGTCATGCCCAACTAAGTTTTGTATTTTCAGTAGAGACAGGGTTTCACCACGTTGGCCAGGCTGGCCTCGAACTCCTGACCTCAGGTGATCCACACGCCTCGGCCTCACAAAATACTGGGATTACAGGCGTGAGCCACTGTGCCCAGCCATTGTATTATCCAATGTTGAGAGCACTTTTTAACGTTATTCCCATGTCCTGTTTTAAATAAAATTTGAGAACAGAATCCTTTCAGACTAGAGCTACATCCTTAATTGGCAGGAAGATACTGTTTCATTATTTACAAAGGACACCACATATTAAAAGAGGTTTGCTTAAAGTTTCCTAACAGTAGTACTTTATTCGAAGATGTTGAAAGTTTTTCTTGAAATGGTGATCTTTATACTGTATTACATGACCATATAATGAAAACGTCTGAAGACAAAATGAGTTGTTTCTGTTGCTCCCTGAGACTTCTGGCCCCCACCTAGCCTCTCTCTCCTTTTCTATTACTCAAGTAGTGACATCTACAGGTGGCTGATAGAAACAACGGAGCAGAAGACAAGCTCAGGTTATGATGGTTCTGTTCCCTGGAGTTGGGCTCTGTTTCACTCTCATATAAAGAAATTCTCTGTGGATCTTTCTAAAATTCTGTTGCTCTCTTTAGAAGTCACAAAACAGGGGGAAAATCCCAGGTGCTCCTGGAGAGAGCCTTCAGGGAGGGTCCTGAGGGAGAGCAAGCCCCTGCTGCCCTAAGTTGCAGGAAGGAGCAGCATCGAACCAAGCCATGCCCAGCTACAGGCCATGCACATGGGGTCCAAGGCCGAGGGCTCTGCCTACGGGGTCTGGGTCAAATGCCATGCACGTGGGCAGGAGGGGTGTCCATTTCCCCGGTGTTACCATTCTACCTCTCCTGAGGACCCTACAACAGCTATGGACAAGAACCAGAGCCTGTTGAACGTATTTATCTTCTTGGAAACTCTTGATCTGGAATTTCCTCATTTTAGGGAAAAAATGTCAGTGATGAAATCTCAAAAATGTGGAGATGAGGAGGTATTTCTTTCTTTCTTTTTTTTTTTTTTTTGAGACGGAGTTTTGCTCTTGTCACCCAGGCTGGAGTGCAATGGCGCGATCTCAGCTCACCGCAACCTCTGCCTCCTGGGTTCAGGCAATTCTCCTGCCTCAGCCTCCTGGGTAGCTGGGATTACAGGCACGCGCCACCATGCCCAGCTAATTTTTTGTATTTTTTGTGGAGACGGGGTTTCACCATGTTGACCAGGTTGGTCTTGATCTCTCGACCTTGTGATCCACCCGCCTCGGCCTCCCAAAGCGCTGGGATTACAGGCTCGAGCCACCGCGCCCGGCCCATGAGGAGGTATTTCTATGAGAGAAGTGAAATCCTTTAAGAAAGAAAAAAGGATTCATGGTTAATTTGGGTAGTTGTTTGAACTGCTGCTGTTGATTTTCTTTTCTTTTTTCCTTTTTTTTGAGATGGAGTTTCATTCTTGTTGCCCAGGCTGGAGTGCAATAGTGTGATCTCAGCTCACTCCAAACTCTGCCTCCTGGGTTCAAGTGATTCTCCTGTCTCAGCCTCCCAAAGTAGCTGGGATTACAGATGCCCACCACCATCGCCAGCTAATTTTTGTATTTTTAGTAGAAACGGGGTTTCACTATGTTGGCCAGGCTGGTCTCGAAATCCTAACTTCAGGTGATCCACCTGCCTCAGCCTCCCAAAGTGCTGGGATTACAGGCGTGAGCCACTGTGCCCAGCCTGTTGATTTTCGTATTTCATTTTTACACAATTCCTACAAGTTATTGAATCAGTTTTAAACCTAGAAAAGTCCTTAGAGATTCTATTTTTCAATCTTTTCTGTTTACAAATGAGGAAACTGAGGCCAAGAAACTTGCCCAATAGCATGCTCCCTGGAGCACAGTAGGGTAAGCTCAGCCCAGCCAGTTCCCATTCTCTTACATCACTTTTCTTCTTTTACCTCCTTATGTCTATATTCACTTACGTTCATTCTAAAAGCAGATTTTTTTAACTCCATGAAGTATAGTTTCCTAGAACGGGTAGCTTATGCACAAACAAGAACAACTCAAACTTGAAATAAGAAACTCTTGGTCACGGGCAGACATCTGCATTTGTCCCAAAGAGCTCTGGAAATTGCCGTGCCCTCTGACACAGATTTGCACACCAAGTTTCAGGAATTTTTGTTTGTTTGTTTTTTTGAGACAGAGTCTCGCTCTGTAGCCCAGGCCAGAATGCAGTGTCATGGTCTCAGCTCACTGCAACCTCTGCCTCTCAGGTTCAAGCGATTCTCCTGCCTCGGCCTCCCAAGTAGCTGGGAATACAGGCGCCCGCCACCACGCTGAGCTAATTTTTGTATTTTTAGTAGTGACAGGGTTTCATTATGTTGGCCAGGCTGGTCTCGAACTCCTGACCTTGTGATCCTCCTGCCTCATCCTCCCAAAGTGCTGGATTACATGCATGAGCCACCACACCCAGCCAGGAATATTTAAAATGTGATCCTTTAACGGTGACATTCACTTGTTTCAATTGGGAGTGGGGGGAATCGGGATACCGGTCTGGATGAAAATAATTGCAATATTTGAAGTATAAACATGAATTTTCTATTTAATACAGCAGACCTGAAAATTAGGGAAAAGGTTGGTTTTACAATATGCTGCCCTCTGGCACATTAGTGAAATTGTAAACATGAACTAGAATTGTAAACATGAACATGAAAAAATGTTTCAGCTTCTGAACATCTCTCCTTTTTTTTTTCTGTGCAGCCATAAGGTTAGACAAAATACAAGTGTTTGGTTATACTGCCTGGTCTCTCCTGGATGGCTTTGAATGGCAGGATACTTACAACATCCGCCGAGGATTATTTTATGTGGATTTTAATAGTAAACAGAAAGAGCGGAAACCTAAGTCTTCAGCACATTACTACAAACAGATCGTACGAGAAAATGGTTTTTCTTTAAAAGAATCCACACCAGATGTGCAGGGTCAGTTTCCCTGTGACTTCTCCTGGGGTGTCACTGAATCTGTTCTTAAGGTAGGTGGTTACTTCCAAATTAACCGTAAACTGGGGCAAACAGCACACACTATTTCATTTACTCAATGGCAGCTAAGAGATAGCTGTGACAATATCAAACACCACAATTGTTTGGAGGTTATGAAGGAGAGCTGGGAAAAGAGAAGTGAGAGAAAGAAGGAAATAAATGCTGAGAGCCTTTCATGGGCCAGAGCTCACAGTTGATGATGGAGATGGACAGGTCAAGAGGCTGCCCTCAAGAAGCATACAGTCTAGTGGGAACTTACTGTCATTTCTGTGTGAGGTTTTTGTTATAATAGTAACGTCAAAATGATAGGAAATTTGTTTTTAGATTTTTGTTTTGCCAAAAGCCTTGTTTAATTGATTCTTGCTGTTTCAGAGAGTTGGGTAATTTGCCTTATGGAGACATATCCCAATGGAGCCTCCCTGCATGTCTCATTCCTCACTGCCTTCAGCTGTTTCCCCAAAAGTCACCTTCTCCATAAGGCTTCCCTCCACTCCAGAAATCACCCTCCTATCACTTCTCATCCTCCTTTCCTGCTTTTCTACAGTGTACTTGCCACCACCTAACATAATATGTGATTTCCATATTTTTCATATTTAACACCTGTCTTCCCCAACTAGAATCCGAGCCTCATGAGAGCAGAGATGTCTGGAGCTTTGGCATCTGCTATATGCCTCACTAGAGAAGTGCTGGGCACATGCCAGGTGCTCATCTTTTAGAACCAGGTGAATAAATGACATCACCTTTTAGTTATTACTTTTTTTTTTTTTTTTTTTTTTTTAAGATGGAGACTCGTACTGTTGCCAGGCTGGAATGCAGTGATGCAATCTTGGCTCACTACAATCTCTCCTCCTGGGTTCAAGCCATTCCCCTGCCTCAGCCTCCTGAGTAGCTGGGACTACAAGAGCCTTCCACCACGCCCGGCTAATTTTTTGTGTTTTAGTAGAGACAGGGTTTCACCATGTTAGCCAGGATGGTCTCGATCTCCTGAGCTCGTGATCCATCCTCCTTGGCCTCCCAAAGTATTGTGATTACAGGCGTGAGCCACTGCACCTAGCCATTGTTATTATTATCTACACTACCTGAAAATCAAGAAATCACCTTTTAGAGCCAGGTGAGACCTCAGAGACCTCCCATTCCAAATTCTTCATTTTATAGGGGAGGAAAGTAAAACCTATCAACTTGCTCAGATGACAAGTGCTGGTGAACTGTTAACATACTGTCATTAAGCTTCCAGATGCACCGTGATTTAACTGCTCTATGTATGCACCTTCTCTATACTTCATCTTTTCCTTTCTTTCTTTTTTTCTTTTTTTCTTTTGAGACGGGATCTTGCTGTCTCCCAGGCTGGAGTGCTGTAGCACAATCACAGCTCACTGTATCTTCAACCTCCTGGCCTCAAGTGATCCTCCCACCTCAGCTTTCACCTGGGACTACAGGTTCACCCCACCATGCACAGCTAATTTTTTGATTTTTTGTACAGTCTCACTGTGTTGCCCAGACTGGTCTGGAATTCCTGGGCTCAAACAAACATCCTGCCTCAGCCTCCCAAAGTACTGGGATTACAGGTGCAAGCCACTGTATCCAACCTACTTAATCTTAAAACTCCCATCTTACAGGCAAGGAAACTGAAGTTTAGGGAGGTTACATAACTTGCCCAGGTCACCTAGGTCTGTCTTCCAACTACAATGCTTTAGAACTTTACAATACCACACTATTGACTTTTTTTTTTTTTTTTTTTTTTTTTTTTGAGACAGAGTCTCATTCCATTGCCCAGGCTGGATTGCAATGGTGCAATCTCAGTTCACTGTAACCTCTGCCTCCTGGGTTCAAGTGATTGTCCTGCCTCAGCCTCTCAAGTAGCTGGGATTATAGCCGTGCGCCACCACACCAGCTAATTTTAAATTTTTTTTTTTTTTTTTTTTGAGATGGAGTTTTGCTTTTGTTGCACAAGTGGAACCTCAGAGGTGAAGGTTGAAGTTAGAGCCAAGATCTGCCCTCCAGCCTGGGTGACAGAGCAAGACTTCACCTAAAAAAAAAAAAAAGTAATCTGATGTTGATACTTGGGACTCACTCTGTGAATATGCTATTCCTCAACATTTCACTTCATGGTTTAAAGTAAACATTCATTCATGAACCTTGCCTTAACTATTACTTTGTAGTAATCAGATTATTCCCTCTACATTTATTAGCTGGATTCTTTTAAGTTTGATGTTTTATAATTCATTATTGTCATGATGATATTGTTCCTTTTGATGCTCAAATTGTTTCATATTTAGTCAATGGGACCCCCTCAAGCTGTGCCCGTCTTTTCTACATTTTCCTTTCAGTTTTTAAGCGCTTCCTTATTTTCTGGCAAAAGATGTGCCAGCTTCATGTTTCTTCTCTTGGAAAAACCATTTCTCCAAGTAGTACAGGGTTTTTTGTGGGGGAATAGGATTTTAGAAACAAGCTCTGGGAGCTGGGGTTGGGATTGGGACGTATCATCTTTAACTAGAAAATTTATCTCTTAGCAGATTAATAATACACACTTGCTAAGACTAATGTTTTCTAAACGTTTTTAACGTAAGACATATTTTTATTTGATTTTGCCTTGCCCCATAGCAAGACTGCCTTTTATAAACATCCTTCACTACCATGATGTTCTGAGTTTTCAAAACACTGAAACTGGCCATCTAGGCTAGGAAGATTTTACTCAAATAAATTATACACAGATTTAACTTCATGCTCACATGATCAATGTTCTCTCCGTTTAATGTTCTAGATAACTGGTTGGCAGATGGCAAATGGGCAACGATATGGTTTTGTAATTAAACTATGAAAGATGACACATGAAAAAACAATTAGAGGGAAAATATTTACCAAAGGTTAATTACCGTTTTTTCCCGGCGTGTTTAAATTCAATCATGAGGGGAAAAAATGAACTTTAAAACAAGTACAGAACTTTTATTTTCCCTTATTAATCCTGAATTTGGAAATGTTGTTTTTTTGTTTGTTTGTTTGTTTGTTTGAGACGGAGTTTCGCTCTCGTTACCCAGGCTGGAGTGCAATGGCGCGATCTTGGCTCACCGCAACCTCCGCTGCCTCCTGGGTTCAGGCAATTCTCCTGCCTCAGCCTCCCAAGTAGCTGGGATTACAGGCACACGCCACCATGCCCAGCTAATGTTTTGTATTTTTTTTTCTTTTTTCCCTCAACCCTTTCCAGCCTTTTCCTCATGTTCTCAAACTCACTGTATCATTCTTACGCCTTTGCATCCTCGTAGCTTAGCCCCCACTTTCATATGATGTTCAGTTTTCCATTTCTCTGAGTTATTTCACTTAGAATAATGGTCTCCAAATCTATCTAGATTGCTGTGAATGACATTGTTTTGTTCCTTTTTAAGGCTGGGTAGTATTCTATGGTATATATTATATATACGACATTTATTTTATTTTATTTTTTTTGGAAAGAGAAAAAGAATAATAAGAAAAAGAATAAAGAAGAGGAAGAGGGAGAGAGGATGGGGGTATTGCTTTGTTGCCCGGGCTAGAATGCAGTCTAAATATGGGTATGCCTATAATTGTCCTTAATAATGGAGACATGAAAGAAAACGAGGGAAGAGAGTAACAAACAAGGAGCCAACCAACATTTCGTTTAAACTTCTAAGTTGATATGATGTGGTACTGATAAGAGTGTACATTTTGTGTAAAGTGGAGAGCTCTATAAATGTTAATTACGTCCACTTGTTCCAGATCTGAGTTCAAGTCCTGGACATCGTTGTTAATTTTCTGTCTCATTGATCTGTCTAATATTAATGTTGAAGTCTCCCACTATTATTGTGTGAGAGTCTAAGTCTCTTTATAAGTCTTGTATGTCTGGGTATTCCTGTATTGGGTGCGTATATATTTAGGACCTTTAACTCTTCTTGTTGTTACATTGATTCTTTTATCATTATATAATGTCCTTCTTTGCTTCTTTTGATCTTTGTTGCTTTAAATACTATTTTATCAGAGGCAAAAATTGTAACTTCTGCTTTTTATTTATTTATTTTTGCTCTCTGGTTGGTTGGTAAGTCTCTCTCCATCCCTTGTTTTGAGTCTTTATGTATCCTTGAATGTGAGATGGGTCTGGATGCAGCATACAGTTTTAGTTTTTTGTCCAGATTGCCTGTCTGTCTTTGAATTGGGGAATTTAGTCAATTTAAATTTAGAATTAATAATGCTATATTACTTTTTGGTATTTTTTAGAAAGGCTGATACTGTTTGTTCCTTTCTATGTGTAGTGGTTCTTTCAGAAGCTCTTGTAAAGCAGGCCTGGTGGTGATGAATTCTCTGAGTGCTTGCTTGTTCACAAAAAACTTTATTTTTCCTTCACTTATGAAGCTTAGTTTGGCTGGATGTGAAATTCTTGGTTGAAAATTCTTTTCTTTAAGGATGTTGAATATTGGTCCCCACTCTCTTCTGGCTTGTAGGGTTTCTGCTGAGAGATCTGCTGTAAGTCTGATAGGCTTCCCTTTGTGGGTAACCTGACCTTTCTCTCTGGCTGCCCTTAGTATTTTCTCCTTCATTTCAACCCTGGTGAATCTGACGATTATGTGCCTTGGAGTTGCTCTTCTTGAGGAATATCTTTGTGGTGTTCTCTGTAGTACCTGGAGTTGAATATTATCCTGCCTTACTAAGTTGGGAAAATTTTCCTGAATAATATCCTGAAGCATATTTTCCAGCTTGGATTCATTCTCTTCGTCACATTCAGGTACACCTATCAAGCGTAGATTAGGTCTTTTCACATAGTCCCATATTTCTTGGAGACTTTGCTCGTTCCTTTTTATCCTTTTTTCTCTAATCTTGTCTTCTAGTTTTATTTCATTGAGTTGGTCTTCGACCTCTGATATCCTTTCTTCTGCTTGATCAATTCGGCTGTTAAAACTTGTGCATACTTCACGTAGTTCTCGTATTGTGTTTTTCAGCTCCATCAATTCACTTATTTTCCTCTCTAAATTTTGTATTCTTGTTGACATTTCGTCAAACCTTTTTTCAAAGTTCTTAGTTTCTTTGGATTGTGTTAGAACAAGTTCTTTTAATTCACAGAAGTTTCTTATTATCCACGTTTTGAAGCCTGCTTCTGTAATTGGAACACACTCGTTCTCCATCAAGCCTTGTTTCGTTGCTGATGAGGAACTGGGATCCCCTGCTGAGGGAGAGGCGTTCTGATCTTGGGTATTCTCAGTCTTTTTTGACTGTTTTCTTCCCTTCGTTGTAGATTTATCCATCTGTGGTCTTTATAATTACCGTCTTTGTAATTGGGTTTCTGAGTGGACGTCCAACTTATTGATTCTCAGCGCCGAAATCTGAGCAACCCGCTGTGCCGACCAAATCAGCGGCGTTAAGATTGATGGTGCTTTTCTGACTCTGCACCAAGAACCGACGCTCTGAGGCGCCGGCAAAACCGCCTCACCGGTCACAAGAGTCGCGCTGGCGACCCGTGGGGCTCCTCCGCTGGGAATCTCCTGGTGCGTGAGCAACAAGAATTCATGTGAAGGTGTGGCGTCCTCTCGTTCTTTGCGTTTTCTCTGGGAGCTACAATCCCGAGCTGCTAGTGATCAGCCATCTTGGATCTCTCCATGTTTTGTATTTTTAGTAGAGACGGGGTTTCACCAAGTTGACCAGGATGGTCTCGACCTCTTGACCTTGTGATCCACCCGCCTCAGCCTCCCAAAGTGCTGGGATTACAGGCTTGAGCCACCGTGGAAATGTTTTTAAGTCAAGGGCTTTGTTTTAATTTAGACTCAAGGGCCCAGTAGGCAATTATTGCCACTAGGGAGAATGAAATGCAAGTCATGACTACATTGTGTTTGTATAGTGCATTAGAGTTGCCAGAGCACCTTCTCAGAGTCTCTGAGTCCTCACAGCACACCTGTGAGGTGGGTGAGAATACTCCGTCACTATATAGTTGCCAAGCCTGAGTTTCAAAAGGGCAGAACTAGAACCAGCCTCCAGGGCTCTCTCCTTCGTGGAGAGACAGGGAATGAGACACTATCAGATCCAAGTGTCAACCTTAGGGATTTCTGGGAGTATTCTACTGTCCTTTCCACCCATAACCCAAATGCCTTGCATAGAAAATGTGTGAGCATTCAGTTGGATGAATCAATGCTATGTTCTCACAGGCACATGGGTTGGGAAGACATGATGGATGCAAATGTGATATCACTTGGACTTTTCAAATAGAAATTAGAGAGTTGCATTCAGCAAATGCAAGAAGTCATTGCTTACCCTATCTCACCAGCCTCTTTTAGGAATTGCGCCTGGGGTCAACTAGCCTTGTCTTCTCAGTGAAATCTCTACAACGGGAATTTCAACTTTGTCTTTTATTTATGGCAGGGTTTAGAATCTATCTTCTGTAATTGCTTTTCACTGAGGGTACCAAGCCAATTTCCTGAGGCATTTGAACAGACTCACATCAAACCCCACCATACAACTTGGGGTTTCAAGTCAAATGAACTGGAAAATGGCTTCCCAATGTTTTCTCAAACAACTTGTTGTCCAAGCCAGGGCCTGGGTGTGGCTCCTCCTGTTTTCTGGTCTCCCTGGGAGATTTCAAGGGCTGGAAGAGGCCTGGCAAGGTGGCTCACGCCTGTTATGCCAGCACTTTGGGAGGTCAAGGTGGGAGGATCACTTGAGGTCAGGAGTTCCAGCCTGGCCAACATGGTGAAACCCCATCTCTGCTAAAAACAAAAAAATATTAGCGGGGCATAGTGGCAAATGCCTGTAATTTCAGCTACTTGGAAGGCTGAAGCAGGAGAATCACTTGAACCCGGGAGGCAGAGGTTGCAGTGAGCAGAGATGGCACCACTGCACTCCAGCGTGGGCGACAGAGTCCGTCTCAAAAACAAAACAACACAATACAAAACAGGGCGGGGAAGCTGGAAGAGAGGCTGTTCCAGCAGGCCTTTGCTCTGACATCACCAGAAAAGCCAGAGCAGCCAGAGCAGCCAGGTCCATATGAAGGGCACATACCTCGTTTATCTCTTCTTTGGTCAGTGAGAAGCAGAAAAAGATCAGGCCTCGCAAACCGCATATGCTAGGAGCCTCTGTGTGCCCGCGCATGCCTGACCTGAATGAGCTTGTTTTTCACAGCCCGAGTCTGTGGCTTCGTCTCCACAGTTCAGCGATCCTCACCTGTACGTGTGGAACGCCACCGGCAACAGACTGCTGCACCGAGTGGAAGGGGTGAGGCTGAAAACACGACCCACGCAATGCACAGATTTTGTGAACATCAAAAAACAACTTAAGATGTTGGCAATGATGAAAGTCACCCACTACCGGTTTGCTCTGGATTGGGCCTCGGTCCTTCCCACTGGTAACCTGTCAGTGGTGAACCGACAGGCCCTGCGGTACTACAGGTGTCTGGTCACCGAGGGGCTGAAGCTCGGCATCTCCGCGATGGTCACCCTGTACTATCCGACCCACGCCAACCTAGGCCTCCCCGCCCCTCTGCTGCACGCCGGGGGGTGGCTGAACCCATGGACGGCCGAGGCCTTCCAGGCCTACGCGGGGCTGTGCTTCCAGGAGCTGGGGGACCTGGTGAAGCTCTGGATCACCATCAACGAGCCTAACCGGCTGAGCGACATCTACAACCGCTCTGGCAACGACACCTACAGGGCGGCGCACAACCTGCTGGTGGCCCACGCCCTGGCCTGGCACCTCTACGACCGGGAGTTCAGGCCGTCCCAGCGCGGGGCTGTGTCGCTGTCGCTGCACGCGGACTGGGCGGAACCCGCCAACCCCTACGCCGACTCGCACTGGACAGCGGCCGAGCGCTTCCTGCAGTTCGAGATCGCCTGGTTCGCCGAACCGCTCTTCAAGACCGGGGACTACCCCGCGGCCATGAGGGAGTACATCGCCTCCAAGCACCGGAGGGGGCTCTCCAGCTCCGCGCTGCCGCGCCTCACAGAGGCCAAGAGAAGCTTGCTCAAGGGCGCGGTCGACTTCTGCGCGCTCAACCACTTCACCACCAGGTTCGTGATGCACCAGCAGCTGGCCGGCGGCCGCTACGACTCGGACAGGGACATCCAGTTTCTACAGGACATCACCCGACTGAGCTCCCCCACGCGCCTGGCTGTGATTCCCTGGGGCGCGCGCAAGCTGCTGCGGTGGGTCCAGAGGAACTACGGCGATATGGACATTTACATCACGGCCAGCGGCATCGACGACCAGGCTCTGGAGGATGACCGGCTCCGGAAGTACTACCTGGAGAAGTACCTCCAGGAGGTGCTGAAAGGTAAGGGCGGGGCCCTTTAGACACTGGGCACAGCAAGATTCCCGTTACCTGACATGAAGAAAGAATGAGCGGAGCAGGCTAGTGCCTGACAACATCGGACTTGTGGCACCCAAGTCCAGTCAATTGAATTTTGTTCTGAAGATTGCAGTATGGGATTTTTGAAAAAAATTTTTAAGCCATAAAAGTAATATACACCCTTTAGAGAAAACTGGGCACGTGGAGAAAGGTTTTCTTAAAAATCACCTGAAATCTCACTCCCCAAGATAAACACTGTCATTTATTTGGGATTACTTATTTTCAGCATGCTTGCTAGGCTTTTTTAAAAAAAAAAATTGTGGGTACACAGTAGGTGTATATATTTATGGGGTACATGAAATGCTTAGATACAGGCATGCAATGTGAAATAATCACATCATGGTAGCCTAAGCAAGCAAAAGTGAGTGGGAGAAACCAACTGTGTGATTCCTGGGCTGCACCACGAGCACATCTGAATCTGGCCAAATAGGTGACATTTTTCTGCTTGTGACCCCTTAAACGAAAGTTTCAACTTCCACGGCTCTGATTTTTTTTTTTTTGAGACGGAGTTTCGCTCTTGTTACCCAGGCTGGAGTGCAATGGCGCGATCTCGGCTTGCTGCAACCTCCACCTCCTGGGTTCAGGCAATTCTCATGCCTCAGCCTTCTGAGTAGCTGGGATTACAGGCACGCGCCACCATGCCCAGCTAATTTTTTTGTGTGTTTTTAGTAGAGACGGGGTTTCACCATTCTGACCAGGATGGTCTCGATCTCTTGACCTCACGATCCACCCGCCTCGGCCTCCCAAAGTGCTGGGATTACAGGCATGAGCCACCGCGCCTGGCCCCATGGCTCTGCTTAAATGTGCCTTGTCCTTCAAGAGTTTTTGAATTATTTACGGATCAAAGTTTTACTACAAATTTGTTTCAGACTTAAATTAGTATTATATACATTTTCACCTATCCTTTACATAGATGAGGTGTCCCCAAACTTTTTACACAGGGGGCCAGTTCACTGTCCCTCAGCTCGTTGGAGGGCCGCCACATACTGTGCTCCTCTCACTGACCACCAACGAAAGAGGTGCCCCTTCCTGAAGTGCGGCGGGGGGGGGGGGGGGGGAACGACGGATAAATGGCCTCAGGGGGCCGCAGTTTGGGGAGGCCTGACATAAATCATAAAAGAATTTTTTAAAAACCCACCTCTAATAAAAATCATTACTTTTATGGGCATAATTTTGGCCTGTTTCAATGAAAACTAATTCTTATTCAAAGATATTTCATAGTCCATTTGTGATTAATGTTAATTTGATGTTTTTCAGCATACCTGATTGATAAAGTCAGAATCAAAGGCTATTATGCATTCAAACTGACTGAAGAGAAATCTAAACCCAGATTTGGATTCTTCACACCTGATTTTAAAGCCAAATCCTCAATACAGTTTTACAACAAAGTGATCAGCAGCAGCGGCTTTCCTTCTGAGAACAGTACTTCTAGATGCAATCAGATGCAAAGAAACACAGAGTGCACTGTCTGCTTATTCCTTGCGCAGAAGAAACCACTGATATTCTTAGGTTGCTGCTGCTTCTCCACCCTGGTTCTACTCTTATTAATAACCATTTTTCATAGGCAAAAGAGAAGAAAGTTTTGGAAAGCAAAGAACTTACAACACATACCATTAAAGAAAGAGCACAAGAGAGTTCTTGGCTAAACTCATCTTGTCTGCATGATAATTTAAAAATTCATTCCAGTTCCATATGCTGGTAACTTACAGGAGATACACCCGTATTACAGACAGACAGTATGAGATACAGCTGTAACCAAGGTGATGACAATCAATGTCTCTACTGCATGGTTCAAACTTTCCGTTAGGTGTTGACATCGGTGAATTGTTCTTGGGTGTAAAGATAAAGGCTTCATCCTGAGAGTAAGCTATGAAGATTACATCATACATTGCTTCTTGAAGTTTCATGAACTGTATTCCGTCATTCTGCTCTAGCTTTCATCTCTACCAATACCTACTTGTAGTATAATAAATTGTTTTTTAAATGTGAAACTTCGGGTTGGGCATGGTAGCTCGACCTGTAATCCCAGCACTTTGGAAGGCCAAGGTGAGCAGATCACCTGTGGTGAGGAGTTTGAGACCAACTTGGCCAACATGGTGAAACCCTGCCTCTACTAAAAATACAAAAATTAGCCAGGCATGGTGGCAGATGCCTGTAATCCAAGCTACTTGGGAGCTGAGGCAGGATAATTGCTTGAACCCAGGAGGCGGAGGTTACAGTGAGCTGAAATCGGGCCATTCCACTCGACTGGGCAACATTGAGACTGTCTCCAAAAAAAAAGCAAAACTTTGTTTTGTTAGATACTTTAGCAGAAATTTAACACTTTTCTTTAAGCTGGTCAGTGATAGATAATATATTCTGTCACTTCTAACAACGTACTTTCCCCTTTAGGTCAGAGTGGTTTTAAAATGGAAGAAAACATACAGTAATAGGGTAAGTAGTGCTTGTCTAAGCCAGTTACAACAGACTCTTAAGAGCATCAAGCCCTTCATTTTTCTAAAGAAACGGAAATCATCTACAGAACTTCTAATTTGTGATCTTTTACTAGAAGATTTGATCCTCAAAAATAACAATTTCCAGCTGGGTGCGGTGGCTCATGCCTGTAATCCCAGCACCTTGGGAGGCCAAGGTGGGCGGATCACGAGGTCAAGAGATTGAGACCATCCTGGCCAACATGGGTGAAACCCCATCTCTACCAAAAATAAAAAAATTAGGCCGGGCGCGGTGGCTCAAGCCTGTAATCCCAGCACTTTGGGAGGCTGAGGCGGGTGGATCACGAGGTCAAGAGATCGAGACCATCCTGGTCAACATGGTGAAACTCCGTCTCTACTAAAAATACAAAAAATTAGCTGGGCATGGTGGCATGTGCCTGTAATCCCAGCTACTCAGGAGGCTAAGGCAGGAGAATTGCCTGAACCCAGGAGGCGGAGGTTGTGGTGAGCCGAGATCACGCCATTGCACTCCAGCCTGGGTAACAAGAGCGAAACTCCGTCTCAAAAAAAAAAAAAAATCAGCTGGGCATGGTGGCGTGTGCCTGTAGTCCCAGCTACTCGGGAGGCTGAGGCAGGAGTGCTTGAACCTGGGAGGCAGAGGTTGCAGTGAGCCAAGATTGTGCCACTGCACTCCAGTCTGGCACCTGGCAACAGAGTGAGACTGTCTCAAAAAAATTAATTTAAAAAAAAAATAACAATTTCCAGCTGGGCGTGATGGTGGCTCACACCTGTAATCCCAGCACTTTGGGAGGCCAAGGTAGGCATGTCACCTGGGGTCAGGAGTTCAAGATCAGCCTGGCCAACATGGCAAAACCCCATCTCCACTAAAAATACAAAAATTAGCCAGGTGTGGTGGCAGGCACCTCCTGTAATCCCAGCTACTAGGAAGCCAGGAGGTGGAAGTTGCAGTGAGCTGAGATCACACCATTGCACTCCAGCCTGGATGACAGAGCAAGACTCTGTCCTTCAAAAAAAAAGAAAAAAAAAATCCCCGTAATTTCCAAAAGTCATCTCATGGAAAGATCACAGGATGAAGGAAAGCTAGACTCAACTCTGTGAATATAAGAAAGTTGCTATACTGCAGTATAGCAACAGTTGAGAATGCTGATGGTCTGAACTAGTTTTATGTAGCACCCTTTTGGGCTAGGGATAAGTAAATTACTAGAACTGAACTTGGATAATTTGACATTTTGGGAAATGAAATCTGTCTTTGAGACTTGTTCAGTGTACTTTAAACAATCGAGGAAGAAAACTTAAATATACACCTATTAATACCTATTCTGTTAGTCAACATTTAACATCCATTGCACACAGTAACTAGTCCCTGTCTGCTCACTCCAGCAACTTAGACCTTAATAGTCACAAGAAATGTTGCTATAAAGCCTGATTAAATTAAGGCAGTTTTGATTATAGTCTAGGTCCACCTATGTCTGAGGCTAAATTCAGTACCCAATTGAAATTCTAACTGCTAATGAACAAGTTTCGAGGATACTGTGGAGAAAATATGATTAGTCAATTCAAGTAAATGCAAACCTGACGAGAAATCAGTTTGCTATGTGGCGTGCCAAACAAACAGTAAAATTCTGCTTTACTCTTCTCTAGTCTCCTTACCCCCAGCTGCACCCACTCCCTCAAACTTGGCAGTTTTGAGGTATCATTTACAAGGAATTTTTAAATATTAATATTTCCCTCTGAGAACTATGTGCCTAAGGTTATGCATACAACTAGTCAATTGTTATTACACTAACTATATACAAACACCAAGTCATTTAAAAGAATCCCTTGGCTGGGTTTTTTCCCCTTTGTACTACATTGATTCACCCTGACCTAAGAACTCCAGTGAAAATTCTTAGTGTCAGCTGGGCAACTCATTAACCTCCTTTAACATTAATGTCTTGAAAAAAAATGCAGTCAGCCACAGAAATAAAACTTGGAATTTATCTCTCAGGTTTTGCTGTCTTCCTGGACTTTGATTAAAGTATCTCGTATTCACAGTTCACAAATCCATTAACCTTCACTATCTGTCTTTCTCACATTAAGAGCTAAAGCTTAGGTTGGGTGGGGTGGCTCACGCCTATAATCCCAGCACTTTGGGAGGCCAAGGCGGGTGGATCACAAGGTCAAAAGATCAAGACCATCGGTCAACACAGAAAACCCTGGCTCTACTAAAAATTAAAAAGTAGCTGGGCATGGTGACTCATGCCTGCTGGGACCCAGTAGGCAGAGGCTGTGGTGAGCCGAGATCGAGCCATTGCATGCCAGCCTGGGTAATGAGCGAAACTCCGTCTTAAAACAAACAAAAAAACAAAAAACTTAAAGCATGTCCCCCTTTTCTAACTTGCTGGTTTACTATAAACTCCCCCAAATAATAAAGTTCCTCACCCAGTACTCAGTCCTCCTTCTCTACCACTTGAGAATTACCAGTTTTTAAGCTGTCATTGCACAGGAATCCAAAAATCCCTAATTTTTACTTAACCACGAACAAATTAGGTTAAACATTTAATCTGGTTCATGCTTTCATACTAAATATTCAGGTTTATCATAAACTCATCTAAAAACCATCAAAGGCCACGAGAAACTGCTGATCGCTCTTGAAAGGAGCAATAGATAAGATCTTCGGAGTTTACGCTTTTCTGAACTGTGTTGTGAAAAAACTTGTTTCCGCGGTATATTCAGTATAACCTGGAAATAGCACAACCATGGTATTTAAGGAGCCTCTGGAAAATGAAGCCAGTACTTTGTGACATGTTTAATTTTCAATGTAATTTATTCCAAATAAACTGTCATGCTGACTACTTGTATTCAACAATCTAGTCAATTTTAAAACTGTCGAACATGAATGTATATGGCATTGTAAATGGGCTCTGCCCCAAGACTGCCTCCCCTGAACCCTTCTGCCTAGTTGTATGCCAACCTGGTATGTTACTTCTGGGTGTGTGTTTTTTTTTAAAAAAAACGGTGGCCCGGGCATGATAGCTCACACCTGTAACCCCAGCACTTTGGGAGGCCAGGGCAGGGTGCGGGGTGGGGGGGGTGGGGATTGCTTGACTCCAGGAGATTGAGACCAGCTAGGACGTGGCAAAACCCTGTCTCTACTAAAAATACAAAAAATTAGCTGGGCATGGTGGCACGTGCCTGTAATCCCAGCTACTCAGGAGGCAGAGGCAGGAGAATTGCTTGAACCCAGGAGGCGGAGGTTACAGTGAGCCGAGATCGCACCATTGCAATCCAGCCTGGGTAACAAGAGTGAAACTTTGTCTTAATAAAAAAAAAAAAAAAAAAAAAAAAGTGCTTATCCATAGTAGACACAAAAGACAAGGAAGAAGTTTTCCCAGGAGGACAACTATGCTCATTTATCATACCCAAGTTATTTAATTAAAAAAAAAAAAAATCAGGCCAGACGTGATGACTCACACGTGTAATCCCAGCACTCTGGGAGGCCAAGGCAGGCAGATCACGAGGTCACAAGTTCAAGACCAGCCTGGTTAACATGGTGAAATCCCAACTTTAGTAAAAATACAAACATTAGCTGGATATGGTGGCATGTTCCTGTAATTCCAGCTACTTGGGAGCCCGAGGCAGAAGTGCTCAAACAGGGGGACCTGAGAAGTGGAGGTTGCAGTGAGCCAAAATTTCATGACTGCACTCCAGCTTGGGCTATGGAGTGAAACTCCACCTCAAAAAAAAAAAAAAAAAAAAAAAAAAATATCAGTTTACCTACAACCAGCCTCTAAGTTATCCTATGAAGGTCACACCCAGCATACCAATCCATTTCATGCAGAGAAACCTCATTTAGTCCCACAGCAGCTACTACCCATAAGCTGATCCTCATTAACACCTCCACCCCACTATAATATTGCCCCTTGGAAATTTCTCCCACAAGCCTCTTATTGTTTCGAAATCCTGTCAATACCTTCCAAACATCTCCCTCCCAATCCCACTGCTGTAAATGAGTCCCTGGCAATCCAGGAACCATTCACTCAGTAAACAGCTACATAACATTGTCCTAGATACTTGGAATACACCAGAGTACAAAATTACATCCTTCTGAAGGTTACATTCTAACAGGAAAAAGCAAATAATCAATACACAATAAGGTAACCTGTAAATATTAAATTTGTAAATGCTATAAACAAAAACAAGTGGAGAAGGGTAAGGAGACGGTAGGACAAGCTAACAGAGGAGGTGCCACTATTTCTAAGAGCAGGGTCAAGGCAGGATTTGCTGAATAGTCCTGAAGGTAAGCGTTAGCCACACAGCTAAGTTGAGAGCATTCCAAAGGGAAAAAACAACTTAAAAGTCTTAATGGTAGTGTTTGGTATGGAGGAATAGCCAGGTCAATTCAGCTATAGTGCAGAAGTCAGAAAAGTTGGGTTAAAAACAGCTGCAGGTGCAATGAGGAAGCTATTTTAAAAAGAAAAAAAACCCACTGCAGAATTTGAAACGTGCTATAATCCCTTTCAAACTCAGTACCCTGGTTGATGCTGAAAATAATGGAAGACAACAGTTAAGACTGCCACAGCAAACCAGGTGAAATACAGGTTGTTTCATTTTCTACAGTATAGGAAATTTGTATATAATAAGCCTTATTTCCCAACCTTTCAGGGACCTTATTTCATGTTGATCCCATTCATTGCCTACAACCTCATCCCAGATTATTTCTAGATTTATCATTTCCTCCAATTTCTTAAAAACCTAAACAGTCACCAGATTCCTGAGTATCATATATTCGATTGGTGCACCTGAATCAAGATCTAAGATTTATAGGGCATGGTGGCCCACACCTGTAGTCCCAGCCCTTTGGGAGGCAAAGTGGGAGGAACACCTAAAGCCAGGAGTTCAAGACCAGCCTGGGAAATATGAGAGCCCCATCTATACTAAAAACAAAAAACACAAAAGATTTGACAGTGTCTGTCTGTACCTCTAGCTACTAAGGAGACTGAGGCAGGCAGGAGCATCACCTGAGTCCAGGTGTCTGAAGTTACAGAGCTGACTATGGCACTGTACTCCAGCTTGAGCAACTAAGCAAGACCTTGTAAGATCTCAGAAACAAATATTCCAACTGGTTGCTACAGCTTTTTTTTTTTTGAGACGGAGTTTCGCTCTTGTTGCCCAGGCTGGAGTGCAATGGCGCAATCTTGGCTCACCGCAACCTCCGCCTCCTGGGTTCAGGCAATTCTCCTGCCTCAGCCTCCTGAGTAGCTGGGATTACAGGCACATGCCACCATGCCCAGCTAATTTTTTGTATTTTTAGTAGAGACGGGGTTTCACCATGTTACCAGGATGGTCTCGATCTCTTGACCTCGTGATCCACCCACCTCGGCCTCCCAAAGTGCTGGGATTACAGGCTTGAGCCACCACGCCCGGCCTGCTACAGCTCTTATAGTTAATTTTTCTGATAAAGTATCTGAATGTACCTTATAATGAAGATACTTGTTTTCCTGATGCATTTGATCAAGGATGAATGTTAAATTTTGCCTGAAAAATTAGCTTCCATCAAATGAGATGTAGAATTCAGGAAGGGTTGGGGGTGGGGAGGGCAGTCACCATGTTGACCTAAGTCTAGTTATGGTGGTCTCATACCATATTTAAAGTGTGGCACATGGAATTAAGACATTATGGAAGGGTTATCAGTTTTGAAAAACAAATTCTAGGGTATGGAAGTAAATGGCGGAGGTAGGGTAAAGGACAAGATTATTGAGTTTATTGATTATTGGTTCATATATTCATTATATGAACCAAACCAAATGCACCTAATTCTTACTGATGTTTTATCACTTTGTTCCACTCCTCAGCTGTTTTTTCAAAAGTGACTAGAACAACCTGCCTTACCAAATATTCAAATTCATGCCTCAGCAAATTTAGATACCTTCAGGGAATTCCCAAAGTTCTATATGCAATGATGAATGGCCTCACGTTTGCCTGTCACTGAAACAATATTCCCCTTCCCTAAAATATATCCTTGCTATTCCTTCAAGAACCAGATTCTCCTTGTTCCATGGGGGACAAAAACTAGCTAAAAAAAAGGATAAATGGTTTAAGAAAGTTCCAAATGAGTAGGTCTTTTATTGCATCATTGAAGTATCACAAGTAAGTCTTAGGTATGATAGGCATCTTGTTTCTGTAGCTGGACAACTGTAAAAAGAAACAAAAATATCTGTTAATTCCCATCAATGCCACTGCCCAGGAAAGTACTAATCTTTTTTTTGTACTATTCTAAATAATCTAAAACATACCTCAAGACTATGACTTACTCATAGTAAACTACACACATAGTAAAATGCCTGCCAATTCAATCTCTTATTCTGTCAAATTTACTGTGTTCCAGAATCCTTAACTCTCCATTTTCCATTATAACAACTCTGGTTTAAGTCTTTTAGTAAATCAAGACATTCATTCAACTAAAGCAGTAATAAAACTATAAGAACATACCTCTAAGGTCTTACTCGTCAGCCTGCTGAACAGTTCCTTTTTCAGAGACATAGATACCATCCAAAAATTTCCGGATATCCTTGTTTTTAACTGTTGTAGCTTGCTGAATCAAAGCCGCTACAGCAACTGAAGATAAAGCAGTTAATACATCAGCCTAACCAATCTTAAAAAGAATTTCAGGGCTGGGAGTGGTGGCTCACGCCTATAATCCCAGCACTTTGGGAGGCCAAGGTGGGTGGATCACTAGGTCAAGAGATCAAGACCATCCTGGTCAACATGGTGAAACCCTGTCTCTACTAAAAATACAAAAATTAGCTGGGCATGGTGGCGCAGCCTGTAGTCCCAGCTACTTGGGAGGCTGAAGTAGGAGAACTGATTGAACCTGGGAGGCGGAGGTTGTGCTCCAGCCTGGGTAACAAAAGTGAAATTCTACCTCCAAAAAAAAAAAAAAAAAAAATGTGGCCTGGGCGTGGTGGCTCAAGCCTGTAATCCCAGCACTTTGGGAGGCTGAGGCGGGTGGATCACAAGGTCAAGAGATTGAGACCATCCTGGTCAACATGGTGAAACCCCGTCTCTACTAAAAATACAAAACATTAGCTGGGCATGGTGGCACGTGCCTGTGATCCTAGCTACTCAGGCGGTTGAGGCAGGAGAATTGCCTGAACCCAGGAGGCGGAGGTTACTGTGAGCCGAAGATCGCACCATTGCACTCCAGCCTGGGTAACAAGAGTGAAACTCCGTCTCAAAAAAAAAAAAAAGTTAATTCATTATATGCTCTACTTAAAATTTCGGAATGTTACCTCTTTATTTTCATAATTTAAAAAGCTAATCAAATGAAAACGTGTAAGCATAATTAGACATAGTAAACATACAAACCTGAATTTGAAACAAGCTCAATGTCATTTCCTTCAAGGATTAATTCATCTTTCTGGGCTTGAGATACTGAACAAGCAACACCTAAAAGCAGAAGGGTATTCGCATATCATCAATACAAAACCAGATCTGTGTAAAAAGTATTTAAATCACAGAAGCATTAATTGATTCCATGTAAAACTCCATGCACCAAATGAATCTTTGATTACAGACGTGAGCCACTGCACCCAGCCAGTGAACCTTTCTTTAAGATTTTGGTTTTACAGCACCTGCCTTAGCTGTACCATTTACCTTAATTTTATTTGTGTTTCTACTTGAATAAATCACAGTCCCAAGGTGGTTACTCCTTCGGTGATTCAATTAAGATATTCAATAGCAGGATTTAGTTGTACAAAGCTTTGTACCAAGTCTTAGTTTATTTTTACATATGGGTTCTCATTAAATGTTGCTGAGCATAGCTAGTATCATAGCATTATTTTTGGAGTGCCATTAATTTGATACTAATAATCTCCCTTCTTCCCACCCCTCCCCACCTCAATGGAACAAAAATGCATCAAGAGGCTGAACCAGGTGCACCTTAAAAGGCCAAGGTGGGAGAACTACTTGAGCCTACAAGTACCAGACCAGCCTGGACAACATAGCAAGACCCTGCCTCTGCCAGGCGTGGTGGCTCACGCCTGTAATCCAAGCACTTTGGAGGCCAAGGTGGGTGGATCACCTGATGTTGGGAGTTCAAGACCAGCCTGACCAACATGGTGAAACCCCGTACTTACATATATTTAAAAAAAAAAAAAGACCCTGCCTCTACAAAAAATTTGCACCTATAGTCCCAGTTGGTGGGGAGGCTGAGGTGGGAGAAACACCTGCACACAGGAGGTGGACGCTGCAGTGAGCTGAGATCAAGCCATTGCACTCCAGCCTGGGCAACAGAGCAAGACCATGCCTCAAATAAAAAAGCACTAAACTGTAAAAATTTTTAAATCTAGTGTTTGTACTACATGTGTACTGTTATGTTTTTTAACTTTAAATCATTTAATAAAAGATGTTTACAATTTTAAGCTACAGAGAGATGATCTGCCCAATGTGGATAGTGAGAGCTGAAACTGAAGCTAAGCTATTAACCATTATTCATGTGGTTTTCTTTAGATTTTAAAGGTTCTTACCATGAACTGGAGTTATGGATATGTTAATTAGCTTAATTTGGTCATTCCACAGAATATACATGTATTGAAATATCACATTGCGTTCCATACACACCATTACATACACCTTTTGTAAATCAAGTCTTTATGATCTCATTTGCCAATTAAATAGAACCACCACTGCAAACTACTCCAGTGTATCAACTTTCTACAATTATAATCGATATAATAATATAAACCCCCAAGTAGCACCAACAGTTGTAAGCATAATCAAGAGACAATTCTAAAATACGGTTTTACTCAGAGCAAACACAGAACACCAGCCAATGGAAGTATGAAGGAGGCTGGAAATGGAGGAGGAGAAAAAAATATGAAGGAAAATGTCTCAACTCCATCTGAGGGTATGCACATACCTGGTCTCATTCGAACCCTGCGGATGTATTTTTCACCCAAGAAATTTCGGATTTCAACAAGAGACCCATTCTCCTGGATAACGACGTTGATGGGGAAGTGAGCATACACAGACCTCATCTTGTAACGGAAGCCCTATGTTAAATAAATAAGCTATTAGCAATGCTGAGGAATATTTTTTAATAGTTTTTACATTTTCTATGATTATACTTATTTTAAAGTGTAACACTCACTGTCAAGATTTTCTAACAACTGTCACTTGAACCAAGCCTTACAAACAATGTTCTATTCAGTGGACTGTCAAGGTCCTTACGGAGGCATTTATTTCACTATCCTGTATACCCCCAGTAAACGATGCTAACTTCTTTTAATGAGAACCCCAAAGCAACATTAGACGAACATTTACTTAGTTACTAAGGTACACCACATGGCAAGAATTGAGACTAAAGCCAAAGACAGCCCCCTTGCCTTCAAGGAACTTAGTCTGGGACCAAGGGTAGATGGGGGAAATCTTTACAGATTTATAATAGATGTATGTACAGGTTGCCATTATCAGGTGCACTCTAGGAGGCATAATGCAAAGAAAACCATTTCAGCATGAACTTTGTATCTTGAGGGGAGAAACGGTGGGCTGGAAAGAAGAGTGACATACATTTACAGCAACAGAGAGAAAACTCAGAAACTACATTTTTTTCTACCCCAGCAAGGGGTCCTGATGGTGAGATCTAACTGTCGACTAGTAAAGCCTGTCCTATGTACTGCAACTGCAGATTTGTTTAAAAAAAGACAATTTTAAAGTGCGAAAATTCACTATTAGCCTCCTTTTTAAAAGTTGCACTCATCTAGCCATGCATGGTAGCTCACGCCTGCAATCCCAGTATTACAGGAGGCCAAGATGGGAGGATCGCTTGAGCTCAGGAGTTTAGCTTGGGGAAAATAGCGAGACCGCAGTCTTGATTTCAAAAAACAGAACAAAAAGCCAAACATGTTGTACCCATCTGGTCTTTACTCTCAGCTGTATCACTTGATCTTAAAGACCCAGAGATGCCTATTTTTACTAAGTTCTAGTGGTCGTGCATTACACCAAACAAAATGCATAACCCATTCTCTGAAATAAACACTTATGCTATATAAATAAAACACAGGTGGAGAAACCTCCCTTTCCAAAACAAGTCAGTCTGATCCATCTGCTTACCAGCGTAACACCCTTGATCATGTTCTGTACATGACTACAAATAGTCCGAACAGTAGCCAGTTCCTTTCGGTTACCCCACCATTTGTCAACCCGGAGCTGTAATAAAACAAAAAATTATTCTTCCCAGAAATATGTAGGTTTAAAAGAGAGCAGACCACTTACCAAATTACTTTAAGATCCTAGAATTAACCCTAATCAAAGCACATGGTTTTCAACTGGAAAAATCCAACTACCTATAAATCCTCCCAAGAGTTAAACTTTGTACAAGTTGCGACAAACTTCCCTTCTGGAAAATTAAATCGTCAGGTTTAAAAGACCTACTGCCAGTTCCTAAGATTCTGACAAAGCAATCACGAGGAAAACAAGCCAAGTTTCTAACACCATTAAGACGTGCCACTGATGACCACTACTACATTTGAGCTTCATAGAATCCGCTGTTCTCAATCTGGTTTCTCAGTTTCACTAACGCAAAACTGGCTGCTATTCTGGACAGCATTCAAAACTAAAGCACTAAACCTCAATTCGAAAATTGTTAAAACAGCCAAACGTGATACTGTTATAAACTACTTTCCAAACAAGCAACTGAATTATCAGAAGAAAGAGAAAAAAAAACCTCACCCTCTTTTTTTTCTTTCCAAGAAGACTGAGTTCTACATTGATGTGATTGAAGTCCCTCCGCAGGGTTCCTCTGGGGCCCTTCACGATAACTGTGCGTCCCTTCAGAGTAATGTCGACTAGAAGAGAATACACTAGTCAGATCACACAATGCTTGAAACGTCTAGTAAAGATGTAAGAAAAAGACATCAAGTCTCATACCATTTTCTGGAATGTCGACAGTCTGATTGCTGAGAATGGTCTTCATTCTGAAACACAAACACTGGGGGTGAGGCCGACGTAAGGCCTCTTTTCAACCAAACTACACAGCACAGAGATCCACTCCTACCGGAGACTGCCGGACGTGCCGGAGAGGATCTAGGACAGGAGGCCGATAGCGGGCCCCAGTGAGTCCCGGGCTGTAAGGAGCAGCCCCAAAGCGAGCGTTGCGAGAACCAGCGGGGGAAGTGCCGCTCAGCCCAACCCTGTAAGTCCTATCTGGGCGGCGCCATCCCGACAAGGCTGAGGGGCAGGAATAGGCCAAAAAGCCCAAAATAGGAGTCGCATCCGGCGCCGCCAGGCTCATATGGCGCTTGCCGAGCTGGGAGACAAACAGGATAAGGGGTCCGAGAGTGGGAGCCGCAACGCAGCCTTTCCCAGAGCAGATGGGTTCGGATTCCCAATGCCCCCAGAGCACAGAAACATCCTCACCTCGCAGTAAACGCAGCAAAGAAGGAACGTCTTTCCTCCTCACGTACTTGTATCCCGTAAGGGGAGGGGCCTGCGTATTGCGTCATGAGCATGCGACGTCACGTACGGCTAAAGCAGCCAATCGTGGAGCAGCTCGACTGTTTGTCATAAACGGAGCGACGTATTTTCGACCTGTCCTTTCCCTTCAGTTAGCTATCCCTCCACCCTCCACTGCGCTAGTCCTGTAAGGGAAATGTCTCTTCGCTGCTGGGATGCCACCCGCACTCTGGGGCCCCGGGTGAGCGGCGGGGCAAGCGGGTTTGGGCGTGGGGTGGGGGAATCCTATTCCTTCAGAGCGCCTACGCCCAATAATAAAGGCCAGTGCTTTTACTGAGCATTTACTTTTAGCCAACGTTGGTTTTAAATGTTTTTCGTGTAATCTCATTTAATTCTCCCGCCAGCCCCATGATACAGAGTCTCTGGCATCGATTTGTTTGAAAGTCTTTCTGGGCCTGCACTGAGGACTTATTTTCTGCTTAGAGTGATTTGTACCTAATATTTATGGACCACTGCAGTGAGCATCCCACACAGCTATTCTGTATTGGACTCTGAATGTGTATAAGACACTCTAGCCGCAGAGAACACAAACTTGTCCTCTAGGCTTTAGCTGTAGACGTGGAGAAGTGCAGTAACAATCGTGCAACACCCTAACAGGCACTCTTTGAATTGTTGAAGGTTCTTTTGCATTGCATGTGCAGACTTGTGGATTTTGTAGTGTTTTGGCTCTCTCATGCCCTTTTGTGTTCTGATGTAAAAGCCGAATACCATGATTTCTTATGCTTATGACTGGCATGTTCAAACACAGAAATAATGTAACCTAGAAAGTAAAAAACGTTAGGCTTGGTTTTCCCCCTTCCAGTTTTCTGAAACCAACTGGGCATTATTAACCTCCACGTTTCAATACTTATGCTTATTCTCAAAGCTATAGAGACTTATTGCACGCTTCACTTTAAACGTACCTGATTCAAGTCAGGACTAGAAAAATTTTACACTGTGGCACCTTCTTCAGTTACTGCAGTTCAATCTTGTTGAAAGACAAACACCTAGTTCCTGGTAGGTGGTGTACATGAAAGTGTGATATATTTTAGATAGTTCCAGAGATTTCCAAATGTATTCTAAACTCAGTAGTAAACACTTAACTCCTGTTTTAGGTTTGGTTCCTTCAGTTATCTTTTATATTATATTCTAATCCCCTAGGCTACTAGAGCTCCTAGTTTGACATAATTTCTGAATGACTTTTTTGGCTTTACCCTTCCTTTTAGGTGTCATGATGGGTTAAAATGAAATTATTCTGGACTCCGCTAAATGAGTGTCATAATGACTCTTTCTTTAGGTATTCGGGAGATATTTATGCAGCCCGGCCAGACTGTTAAGTTCCTTGCCAGATGAAAAAAAGGAACTTTTAAAAAATGGACCAGACCTTCAAGATTTTGTATCTGGTGATCTTGCAGTCAAGAGCACCTGGGATGAATATAAAGGAAACCTAAAACGCCAGAAAGGAGAAAGGTAATTGAAAATTTGAGATAAGTGTAATGTCTCGTTCCTTTATTGTGCATTATTTTCAGATCTAACCCAGCCCTCGAATCTATTTTTAATATCAGACTTGTTAAATTTAGCTAAAAGTCATTTGAAAGATGTGATAACAGAACTAGATAGAACAGGTAAGTAGATGAAATTGTTAGAATCTTTCTCTTTTCTCTGCACCTTTACCGTCTTAACACTGTCATCTCCTCATTTTCTATCCAGCATCTAACTTCTTTAAAGATTATTGCCTTGCTACTAGTCTGTTGGATCTAGATTACTAGGTGTTGGTGATCTAACTTGTGCTTCTCCTAGTCAATTTACATATCACCTGTGGATACCTTGCCTTAATTTAAAAGAAGGATGGCATTTTATGTAGAGGGTAGCTTGTGTTGAGAGATAACTTAATCCAGCTACTTCTATATCACAAGTAGATGGAGTCATGGAGGACCAAGGATATACAGTCTCCACTCCAAAATTTTAGGTCTTTTTTCCATTGAATAACCACCGTAAAATCTAGAATGTAGAGCAGACAGTGCATAGTTGTGATCGTTCCTTACTTTAAACAAATACAGTACTTTTTGGCAGTATCATTCATGAGGGATGAGATATTTTAAAACTGGCTCATTCTTTCATTAGAATAGTGTAACTCTGCCTTTGCAAAAAAAGGTAGACATGAGCCTGGTGCCTTGTTAGACTCCATTACCGGTGTTTTGTTTGTTTTTTTTTTTTGAGACAGAATTTCACTCTTGTTACCCAGGCTGGAGTGCAATGGCGCAATCTTGGCTCACACAACCTCCACCTCCTGGGTTCAGGCAATTCTCCTGCCTCAGCCTCCCGAGTAGCTGGGATTACCGGCATGCACCACCATGCCCAGCTATTTTTTAGTATTTTTAGTAGAGACGGGGTTTCACCATGTTGACCAGGATGGTCTCGATCTCTTGACCTCATGATCCACCCGCGTCGGCCTCCCAAAGTGCTGGGATTACGGGCTTGAGCCACCGTGCCTGGCCCACTATCGGTGTTTTCTAAAGTAGTTTGAGCAAGGCTAAATTTGAGTCTGTGTTCTTACTCCTATGACAGAAATTGTAAGTTATTCTAAGATTATGGAAAAAAATTTATTAACTAGGAATCATAATAGAGGAAATTAACTTCTAAGCTGTGTAATTGTTTGGCAGCATATTTGTTAATAGATAGTTATGTTTGGCTTTCCTCAGGTTAAGACTACCTCCATGGCTAAAGACAGAGATTCCCATGGGGAAAAATTACAATAAACTGAAAAATACTTTGCGGAATTTAAATCTCCATACAGTAAGTTGTCGAAGTGTAAACTGTTCCTCTTAACCAAAAGCCATGTTTCTACATTTATGTAACTTAAAAATTATTAATAAATATGTAAATAATAGCAAAGAAAGTATATCTGTTCAGTGATACATTACTACCAGGAATGGAAATATATTTAAAATCATTTTTTGTGCAAGTAAAAAGATTTTTTGCCCTACAAGTTTGGAAACAAGGCTTTGTTTGTTTGTTTTATATTGCAAATTAGATACATGTTTCACTGGAAAGAATATAAAATTAAATGTGAAGTATGTCACATACACAATGCCATATATAAACCAATCTCCTTAACTGTTCAGTATATATTCCTTCAGATTTCTTTATTTGCACATATGAAGTATATACATTCATAAAGTTTTTAATTTAAAAATGGGATTTTGGCCAGGGTGTGGTGGCTCACACCTGTAATCCCAACACTTCAGGAGGCCGAGGCAGGTGGATCACCTGAGGTTAGTAGTTCAAGACCAGCCTGGCCAATATGGCAAAATCGAGTCTCTACTAAAAATACAAAAAAAATAGCTGGGTGTGGTGGCATGAGCCTGTAGTCCCAGCTACTCAGAAAGGAGAAAGGTAATTGAAAATTTGTGCACCTATACTCCCGGCTACTCAGAAGGCTGAGGCGAGAGAATCACTTGAGCCGGGGAGGCAGAGGTTGCAGTGAGCCGAGATCACACCACTGCACTCCAGCCTGGACAAGAGAGCAAGACTCCATCTTAAAAAAGAATAAAAATTCAGGTCTCTCCATTCTTACGTAACTAATTGTATAAGGGAGTATATGCCTTTATAGGACATGTTTACCATGCTCTAATCTTAATATAGAGTTTGGCAGTTTAACAACCTTTTTTTTCAGCAACCTCCCAGGCTCAAGTGATCCTCCCGCCTTAGCCTTCTGAATAGCTGGGAGTATAGGTGCACACCGCCACTCCTGGCTTTTTGTTTTTTTATAGAGACAGGATTTGACTATGTTGTCCAAACTGGTTCCAGACTTCTGGGCTCAAGCAGTCCTCCCGCCTCAGCCTCCCAAAGTGCTGGAATTATAGGCATGAGCCAGCACACTTGTTTGTAACAGGATTTTTGAATAGTGGATGTCTTCAAAAATGTGGTGTAAGCTATGAGCAGTTTAAAATGTCTAATCACAGTCACCAATTGTTCAGTGGGTGGATTTTGTCAACCTCATGGTGTTCCATTTCCTTTTGCACACAGGTATGTGAGGAAGCTCGATGTCCCAATATTGGAGAGTGTTGGGGAGGTGGAAAATATGCCACCGCCACAGCCACCATCATGGTAAGGCCAGCCTCAGCCTCTACAGCTTCAGTCTAGAAACTGAAAGGGAATATTTTGTGTCTTCTTCCTAGAAATGTGCATTATGAATCTCTGGTCAGATTTTTTATTATGTTTGCATTTGTGAAAAATAAGAAGAAAAAAACCTGATGGAATAATTCAACCTATTGTGATTTCACTCTTCTCTGAGTAAATCTATTATTGGTTCTTTCATCTATCTGAGTTAATCATATGCTGCCTTGAGATATCTCTCCTATCAACTTTTGGAAACATTATTCATGATTGCTTAGCTTTTTATGTGTTTTCCGTTTCATCTATTCAACAAGAAAGGGCTGTACTTTCTGTTTTCACTTCCATAGAGACCTGCACATTGATCTGTTAGTTAAATATTTTATGTCTTTTTAAATCATCTTTTTTGATTACTGAGTAGATACAAAAGAATCTTTATAGGCCAGGTATGACAGCTCATTTCTGTAATCCCAGCATTTTAGGAGGTCAAGGCAGGCAGTGTAGGGTCCAGCCCTGCAGGGTTCTGTGAGCTGCTCCCAGCTGGTGCGGAGACAAGAAATTGTAGAAATAAAAGACACAAGACAGAGATAGAGCAAAGAGAATTTGGGCCCAGGGGTCCACTGCTACTCAAATTGTGGAGATGAGCAGTGGCCCCAAAAGCACTCTCACTTTTATTGAGTTGCAAATCTGGGGGCAGGGTAGGTGGGGCGTGGTCTTGGTCGGAGACTGGGAGCAGGGTAGATAGGGCGCGGCAGTGATAGATAGGGTCAAGTACATCACGTGTCATTCAGGTAGGGGCTCTGGAATTTCTGGCACCCGAAGTGGGGTAAGGAGCATAATGCATCAGCACTAGTTTCCATATTTATCAAGAAAGAATTAAAACACTAATATTTATACTACTATTACTGATTATCTTTTCTAAGACAGAAAAGAAGGAACCAGGTGCAGAAGCAGAACGTAAGAGTAGACATGGAACGTGACCACTGAAGCGCAGCACCACACAGAGACAGTTAAGCCCCTGGATGTCTGTGGGTGTCCCTGACAGCTGTCAGGCCTTACCACAAGAGCTTGAAGAAGCGGAGTTTTCTCCAAACTTCGCCAAGAAGGAGATGTCTCGGCCATTTTGGACATCACCTTCCCTAGCTGGCTAAACAGCGGGCACGTTCACAGCGCTGGCCCTGCCGCACAGCCAAGGTGCCCTCCAGCAGCCCTTATGCGGGCATGACAGAGGGCTTACAGTATCTTGCCTTAATGTGATTTATTTCACATTGTCACGCCAGGTTCACACTTCTGACCTGAGAGGCATTAGTAAAAGATCACCTATGAATAACTAAGAGCTCATATGATTAAGTAATAACTACTACAGTTATATTTCTAGTTACTTTCTTTTTCATTATTTATATGGAAATAGGCTGAGGCGTTTTGTTCCTGCCTCGGCGCTTATGGGATCTCCCCAACACAAGGCAGACCATTTGAACCCACGAGTTTGAGACCAGCTGGGCAACATGGTGAAACCCTGTGCATACAAAAAAAAATGTTTTTAAAAATTAGCTGGGCATGGTAGCACTTGCCTATATACCAAACTACTGGGGAGACTGAGATGGGAGGATCACTTGAGCCCAAGAGGTTGAGGCTGTAGTAAGCCATGATCATGCCATGGCATCCCAGCCTAGAATACAAAGCAAGACCCTGTTTCCAAAAAAAAAAAAAAGTGTCTTATAAACTGTGTAAGCTATAAAGGATAACACAACAGACATCCTCATACCTCTAGTGTGAGATTAAAACATTGGCATTATCTTTGAATCCCCCTCTGAACCCCCTAAACTGTATATTTTTCATTTGTTTCCATTTTGATGTAATCATAGCTCACTGTAGCCTTGAACTCCTAGGCTCAAGTGATTCCCCCATCTTAGCCTCCCTGAGTAGCTGAGGCCACAGGTACATGCCACTATACCCAGCTAACTTTTAAAAATATTTTGAGAGACAGGGTCTCACTGTGTTGCCCATGCGGGTCTCAAACTCTAACAATCCTCCCACTTCAGCCCCCACAGTAGCTGGGATTATAGGAGTAAGCCACTGCACTCAGCTTTGTTTTTAAATTTAAATTTTGTGTCCTTTCTTGATCCCATCCCCTTTTTTCTTCGCTGAACACTATTCTTATTGCTGAGTTTACTTCCCTTTCTTTTTAGTTTTATCACATATATTTGTGTTCCTTGACTATTAATTTAGTTTTGAATGTTTCCAATTTCTTATAACAGAACCAAACTATATGCATCCCTTGCAACTTGCTTTATTCTCTCAATATTATGTCCTTGAGGGTCATCTGATTTAAACTGTAACATTTCTATTCTAGTTGATGGGTGACACATGTACAAGAGGTTGCAGATTTTGTTCTGTTAAGACTGCAAGAAATCCTCCTCCACTGGATGCCAGTGAGCCCTACAATACTGCAAAGGCAATTGCAGAGTGGGGTCTGGATTATGTTGTCCTGACATCTGTGGATCGAGATGGTTAGTGTGTCATCATGGCCTCTACCAGAAATTGGCTCTAAATGGTAACATCATCTTGAGCAGTGGATTCTTTTCTTTCTAGATATGCCTGATGGGGGAGCTGAACACATGGCAAAGACTGTATCATATTTAAAGGAAAGGTACTTATTTTTGCCTTTGTTTATGTAATTTAAGGACCTTTTTGGACCCATGTGAGTTCAGTTTATCTAAGTTCTTTACCTTGAAGCAGGGATTATTCACTTTTTGAGGAGTTTCATACTTTCCTGATAATCCACTGGAAATTATGTACACATTTCTTTGGAAGAAGCTTATTTGTATGTACAGATAGATATTTACAGAGAATTTTAGGGACTCACGAACTTATCCACAGACCTTTAGCCCATAGGATCCCGCCTTCATATTAGAACATTAGTCTAAACTTTGAATAATTTTCTGTAAAAAGTGTAAACCTGGTCTTAGTACTGACTTTTTTTTTTTAAGACAGAGTCTTGCTCTTTCACCCAGGCTGGAGTACAATGGCACCATCTCACTGCAACCTCTGCCTTCTAGGTTCAAGCCTCTCGAGTAGCTGGGATTACAGGCAAGCACCATCCTGCTCAGCTAATTTTTGTACTTTTAGTAGAAACAGAGTTTCACCATATTGGACAGGCTGGTCTCCAACTCCTGACCTCCAGTGATCCAACTGCCTCAGCCTCCCAAGTAGCTGGGACTACAGGTACATACTACCATGCTTGGCTAATTTTTTAAAGTGTTTTTTAGAGACAGAATCTTGCTATGTTGCCCAGGCTGGTCTCAAACTCCTAGCCTCAAGCAATACTCCTGCCTCACCCTCCCAAAGTGTTGGGAGTATTCTAATTTTCTACAGCTCAGTACTAGTTTGGTGCCTAAGCACGCTTAGTAAATTTTTTCAATGATTCCGCAGAATTTTCTTTTTCTCTTTTTATTATTTTTTTGAGACTGAGTCTCGCTCTGTTGCCCAGGCTGGAGTGCAATAGCATGATCTCGGATCACTGCAACCTCCACCTCCTGGATTTAAGTGATTCTCCTGCCTCAGCCTCCCCTTTAGCTGGGATTACAGGCACTTGCCACCATGCCCGACCAAGTTTTGTATTTTTAGTAGAGACAGCGTTTCACTGTGTTGGTCAGGCTGGTCTCGAACTCTTGACCTTGTGATCTGCCCACCTCGACCTCCCAAAGTGCTGGGATTACAGGCGTGAGCCACCACACCTGGCCTGATTCCCCAGTATTTTCTATTTCCTCTTTACTGTAGTTAACTTTTGAAAAATCTGTTTGCAGCCCACTAAGTTTATTTTACATGCTTCAGTGGGTCTCAGCTTGCAGTTTAAAAAAGCAGTAGAACCAAGCACAGTAGTTCACTCCTGTAGTCCCAGCACTTTGGGAGGCCAAAGCAGGAAGATTGCTTTAGGCCGGGTGATGAAGACCAGCCTGGGCAACACAGGGAGATGCTGTCTCTACAAAAAATAAATTAAAAAAAAAAATAGCTGCTTGGGAGGCTGAGGCAGAAGGATTGCTTGAGCCCAGGAGTTGAAAGTTACAGTGAGCTATGATGCACTAGGCCACGAGCAAGACCCTGTTTTTATAAAAAACAATAACAACACAGAGTTATAGGATATGTTCTTTGAACATCTCTTATATTCATGATAAGGGTATACATGTGGTTACATGTGGTCTTTTCCACATCTTTTCTTTCAGGGAACAACTCATATTTTGCGATTGGGTTTGTGAAAAAATTCGTCAGCTGTTTCAGTCATTTTTGCTAGTGTCAAAGGGAACAGCTCTATGACCCAGTTCACATTATAATGCTTGGATGAATAGATATAGCCACAATATAAATAGGAAGATTACTATTTAGCTCATACTTCATTTATCAAAGCTTACAACTCAGCAACCCAGAAAATAGTTTTTAAAACCCATAGCACTTTTGAAATATTTGCCTAGCGAAAGGGAGAAGAGCATGTGTGATTTGATGAATTTAAGAAATATCTCAGCCGGGCGCAGTGGCTCAAGCCTGTAATCCCAGCACTTTGGGAGGCTGAGGTGGGTGGATCACAAGGTCAAGAGATCGAGACCATCCTGGTCAACATGGTGAAACCCCATCTCTACTAAAACTACAAAAAATTAGCTGGGCATGGTGGTGCATGCCTGTGATCCCAGCTACTCAGGAGGCTGAGGCAGGAGAATTGCTTGAACCCAGGAGGTGGAGGTTGCGGTGAGCCAAGATCGCACCATTGCACACCAACCTTGGTAACAAGAGCGAAACTCAGTCTCAAAAAAAAAAAAAAAGAAAGAAAGAAATATCTCGGCCAAGTGCTGTGGCTCACACCTGTAATCCCAGCACTTTGGGAGGCCAAGGCAGGTGGATCATGAGGTCAAGATACCGAGACCATCGTGGCTAACATGGTAAAACCCTGTCTCTACTAAGAATACAAAAATTAGCTGGGCCTGGTGGCGTGCACGTGTAGTCCCAGCCACTCAGGAGGCTGAGGCAGGAGAATTGCTTGAACCCAGGAGGTGGAGGTTGCAGTGAGCCAAGATCACGCCACTGCACTCCAGCCTGGTGCCTGGCAACAGAGCAAGACTCTGTCTCAAAAAAAAAAAAGAAATAACTCAATTTACTTCCAAAGAGTAAAGTTTTATATTTAATGTTTTAATATTTCATGTTTTAATTTCTTACAATTAATTAATTTTTCTAAAACCTCAAATTAGGTTTAAAAGTCTACTTACATAATATCAGATTTTATTCTATTTGCCTAAAGGTGTGTTTTAACTGTTGTGTACATAGTATTTAATGTTTTGCTTGTGTTTTTTTTTTTCATATAATGGTTCATATGAACATCTGTATGTTCATACTTTTCTTGGCAAAGTTCTAAAGGTTACTGTGTTGAAACATACTGAATGAGTACTGAAAATTTCTATTTTGAGCAACAAGTATGTCAATTCTTTCTGTTTGATATTTCTCTTTTTTCCCCCTAGGAATCCAGAAATTCTTGTGGAATGCCTTACCCCTGATTTTCGAGGGAATCTCAAAGCAATAGAAAAAGTTGCTCTGTCAGGATTAGATGTGTATGCACATAATGTAGAAACAGTCCCAGAATTACAGAGGTGAATACCTGTACAAAGTAATGTCGGGAAGTTAGGAGGGTCAAAATATGCTATATATTATCACCTTTTCCAGGGCTGAACTTTGTCATTGACTTTTACAGAGTAAACTCTATTCTTTTTTGTTTTTTAGGCAAACTCAATCTATATCTATTACATAAAAATCAGAAAATGTCACCAGCAGAAACAGCATAAGCATCACCCATAGTATTTCCATGCAGCAATATCAGTTTCTAACACCTTAGTTTTATATTATAAATACTATGTTTATACTACATATTCGTACTTTTATATTTATAATATACTTTTATATTATAAACATTAAAATGTTAATAACTCATATTACTAACTGTTATGGTGTGTTTTAATACAGGCAAATAATGAACCTTTTTTTTCTTTTGCTTTAACATAATATCATACTGCAAATTTCAATGAGTTGTTTGTTCCCCCCTCCCCCTAAAAAACAGTTTTCAGGCCGGGCGCGGTGGCTCAAGCCTGTAATCCCAGCACTTTGGGAGGCCGAGGCGGGTGGATCACGAGGTCGAGAGATCGAGACCATCCTGGTCAACATGGTGAAACCCCGTCTCTACTAAAAATACAAAACATTAGCTGGGCATGGTGGCACGTGCCTGTAATCCCAGCTACTCAGGAGGCTGAGGCAGGAGAATTGCTTGAACCCAGGAGGCGGAGGTTGCGGTGAGCCGAGATCGTGCCATTGCACTCCAGCCTGGGTAACAAGAGCGAAACTCCGTCTCAAAAAAAAAAAAAAAAAAAAAAAAAACAGTTTTCAAAGCGGGGGAAAATTACACTAGACCAATTGCTTTGGTTTTAATTCTAAAGAAAAGACTTTAAAATTATATTTGGCGCTAACATATGCAATAAATGATGCAGAAGAAAAACTCGTATCATTCAGATGTAGTTTAAATCTTTTTTTAAAAGTAGACACTAGGCCAGCGCAGTGGCTCAATCCTGTAATCCCAGCACTTTGGGAGGCCGAGGCGGGTGGATCACAAGGTCAAGAAATTGAGATCATCCTGGCCAACATGGTGAAACCCCATCTCTACTAAAAATACAAAATTTCGCTGGGCATTTGGCACGAGTCTGTAGTCCCCGCTGCTCAGGAGGCTGAGGTGGAAGAATTGCTTGAACCCGGGAGGCAGAGGTTGCAGTGAGCTGAGACTGCGCCACTGCACTCCAGCCTGGCAACAGAGCAAGACTCCATCTCAAAAAAAAAAAAAAAAAGTAGACACTATACTTTCTTACTCCTAATAATTTCATTAATTAACAATAATTATTGGCAAGTAACACCGATATAAGAAAAAAATAATTAAGGATTGTTATCCACATCCATGTAATAACTATATTCAAATTTTAGAAAAGTCAACATTTTAAGCTTCAGGCAAGATTAATATTTTTTTCTTTAATCGTAGCTTTTAGCAGTGATTTTATTAGCTTCTACATATTATCTGTGTCATAGAGCCTGAAAGAAGTTAGAGTAAACAATAACCAGCATTTTCGCTAAATTATAAAAAGAGACCATAACTTAATTTTAGTGGAGAAATTCTGTTAAAAAGTAATTTCTATATTGTCAGTTTCACAGTTATTTTTAATTCATAAATTTGTTTCCTCTCTTTCTTTTAGATAGCCTCTGATGAAAAACAATTACCGCAAATAAAGCTCTGTTAGAATTCAAATGAAATCCAGTTTAACATCAGAAGCTTTCTAGCCTTTTGGCTTAAATGATAAGTCATTTAAGCCATGGTGGTTTGGCCATTGTTGAAGTCTAACACAGCCTATTCCCACCTTGTCATAATACCACCACCAGTGGGTGCCAATTTCCCTGGTTTCGCTTAAGAAACATTATTCTTTCCAGTGAAAATTCCAGAATCATGCATTTCTTTACCTGAGAGATGGCAGTGTTGTGTACTCACCAGCAGAGGGCGGCTTGGTCTTCAGAAAAGAAATCAAAGTTTCAACCCTCTGACATGTGGGTTCAGCTTTTTTTTTTTTCTTTGTTCAGTCTACTCTCTTATTTCTGCTTTTTTCCCTTTCTCTTCTACTTTTTCACTTCAGAATTCTGGTTTCTCAGTGCATAAATGGAAGTAATTTCTATTCTACTGTTCTCTGCCCCAGGCTTAAGACAGAGCTAGGGAGCCCAGTGAGGCCTTTTCTTTCCTAAATGAACAGTTTAGGCATTTGTGCATAAATGCTACCTGTGAACTAGGTAATTTAAGATAATTTGCAGAATGTACTTCTCTGGTCTTTCAGGTTACTTGCATAACTATGTACTTGGTTGAACTTATAATTCTTACTGACAACAGTCCTGCTGTTTTCCAGTAAAGTTCGTGATCCTCGGGCCAATTTTGATCAGTCCCTACGTGTACTGAAACATGCCAAGAAGGTTCAGCCTGATGTTATTTCTAAAACATCTATAATGTTGGGTTTAGGCGAGAATGATGAGCAAGTATATGCAACAATGAAAGGTAAAGAAATTGAAAAATGAAAAAAATATTTCCCATATAATTTGAGTAATAGCAGGAACCCACTCACTTCCAAGGCCCTTCTAAGAACACAAAGTATATGGTTATAAACGGCAGCATAAAAAGGAAACAAACTTGCACATGTACCCCCACATCTAGAAAAATAAAGGACAGGAAATAGATTTTCTTAGAATTTCGTGGAGTGACACGCATGAAGCTCAGGATACAAAATTTGTATCCCATTTTATTCCCCATCCTTGCAGCCACTGAAAGCATGATTTCATTCACTTTTCTCATTCTGTCATTGGACACTTTTGGAGAGCCAGCCAGGTACCAGGAACTGCCAATTCATAGATGAATGAGACCAATCCAGGCCTCTGAGAAACAGCTTACTTGTAGTGTTGTCACATAATATGCTGTGCTTTGGACTTTCCTGAACCTTAGTCCCATAAGTCCATTTGCTTTGTGATTCTTGGGCTTCTTAAACTTTGAAATTTAAAAGTTTTAATTTTAGCTGAGGATCCTTGGACTACTTGTAGTTATTTAGGGGTTCAAAGAGTAGTAAATACATATAGTAATTAAGAGCTGCTGTTTACCACATTGCATACAGTTTGTTATTAGAAAGATTCTGGGGGCTGGGCGTGGTGGCTCAAGCCTGTAGTCTCACCATTTTGGGAGGCCAAGGTGGGTGGATCACGAGGTTAAGAGATCAAGACCATCCTGGTCAACATGGTGAAACCCCATCTCTACTAAAAATACAAAAATTAGCTGGGCATGGTGGCACATGCCTGTAATCCCAGCTATTCAGGAGGCTGAGGCAGGAGAATTGCCTGAACCCAGGAGGCGGAGGTTGCGGTGAGCTGAGATGACGCCATTGCACTCCAGCCTGGGTAACAAAGAGCGAAACTCTGCCTCAAAAAAAGAAAAGAAAGATTCTGATGTCACAGTTTAAGTCACAGCCCCCATAGCATATATTGTGCATTGAGTAAAAGCCTAATGTAACATATTTGGTCTATAATATAGGTGTATTCGGGTTTTTGCATATACCAGTTCCCTTACCTTTTCTGCCTAACAGACTCCTACTCTAAAACACCCTCCACTACTATTTTAGCATTTATTCCGTAGTATTAGAGGTATTTATCCTTGTATCTATCAGCCCCACATGACTGTCTTAATTATTATTGTTTTCAGTCCTTACCCCATTCCCTGGCATAAAATACTTTTGAATGAATACGTGTTGTCTTATTCCCCAACATGTGGATTATGGACTGGCATAAAGTTCACACAGTTTTTAAATATTCCTCAGGAAAATTGCACTTAAATCTGCAATTAAAGTATTTGCTACTATAATTTGTGCTTTTCTTCCTACAGCACTTCGTGAGGCAGATGTAGACTGCTTGACTTTAGGACAATATATGCAGCCAACAAGGTGTCACCTTAAGGTACATGTATCTTGATTTGCCGAATGTTTCTTGGTAATCTGAATTAAATCTTCTCTGTCCACAAGTAAAATTAAGAAAATGCTGAATTTTCAGTATACTACTCCATGTATAGTTGTCCCTTGAACAATGCAGGGGTTAGGGATGCCAAACCCCTGCACAATCAAAAATGCAAATTTTTTTTTTTTAGGTGACGGAGTCTTGCTCTGTCACCTAAGCTGGAGTGCAGTGGTGTAATCTCAGCTCACTGCAACCTCTACCTCCCGGGTTCAAGTGATTCTCATGCCTCAGCCTCTGAGTAGCTGGTATTACAGGTGCCTGCCACCATGCCTGGCTAATTTTTTGTATTTTTAGTAGAGACAGGATTTCACCATGTTGCCTAGGCTGGTCTCGAACTCCTGAGCTCAGGCAGTCTGCCCGCCTCAGTCTCCCAAAGTGCTAGGATTACAGGCGTGAGCCACTGCGCCCAGCCCATTGTATAGCTTTTGACTCCCCAAAAAACATAACTACTAATGGCCTCCTGTTGATCAGAATATTACATGTATTTTATATATATGTGTACATATATATGTATATACATGCTTAAAGTGAGCTAGAGAAAATAAAATGTTTTTCTAAGAAAATCATAAGAGAAAATATATTTACTAGTCATTAAGTGGAAGTGGACCATCATAAAGGTCTTAATCCTCATCATCTTCATGTAGATAAGATGGATGGAGGCTGAGGAGGAGAGGGAAGAGGAATAGTTGGTCTTGCTGTCTCAGCAGTGGCAGAAATGGAAGAAACTCCTTGTAAAAGTGGGCCCATGCAGTTTAAACCCATGTTGTTCAAGGGTCAACTGAATGTTTACAAGTGCCAGTTTCCATTTTATTACCTACATAAATCAGCTACACTGGCACATATTTGCTGCCTCCCCCATTCTCTCCACAAATTTTACAACTCAAGTAAACTTAGAATTTGAAAGTTGGGAAATTGCCCTCATTTACACTTGATTATTGTGTAACTTGCTTTGGTTATATTAGAGCCAGAGGTGAAGTAAGAATGAGAAACTATTCTTTCTATCATGGACATGTATCCGTTCACTAAAGAAACTTGGGTTGAGCGGTGACCATGTACCAGTCACAGTGCTAAGCGGAAGATACAAGTTGAGTAAGACAGTCTTGTCCTCAAGAATTGGATAGGCATGAGTAATTCTTGAATTTACCTGTTAATCAATGAAGGAAAAATGTAGATAAATAATCTCTATAGATAATCTCTTCTTTCTCTGTTCTTTGGAATAGCCAGTGTAGCACAAAATTGATGTTTCCTTGCCTCTGTAATTCCCTGTATTTACATTCCAATAGAGTGGCCAATAAGTAACCAGTAAATACATAGTCAGGGAGGAGAGAGAGGATGAAAACCTGGGGATGGGGGTAAAATAAATTATGCAGTGAAAAGCATTCTGCATACATGGGGATAGACTTCCTGCAGAATCAAAGAGGAATTCTAAAATCTGATCGAAGTAATTATTTAAATCCAGGTTGAAGAATATGTTACTCCTGAAAAATTCAAATACTGGGAAAAAGTAGGAAATGAACTTGGATTTCATTATACTGCAAGTGGCCCTTTGGTGCGTTCCTCATATAAAGCAGGTAAGTTAGATTGCGGGGCGTTGTTTTGTTTAGGCCATTAACTTTCTACAAGGAGTGCTACCACAAATCACCAAAACTCCTGACAAATTCGAATAGCTTTGGTGGTCTTGGTAGGAAGCTAGGGTTTTTTCTGGAACAACCTTAGGAGCTTTGTTCCATGGGATCATATTTAGGAAAAGTTTCTCTTAATCCTTTGTTTCTTAAACAAATTCAGCTCCTTGCTTTATAACTCAGCTACTATAGTAAAAGTAGAAACAATTAGTTCATTAATTTATTCTGTGTGTGGATTTCTTTAGCAGATTATTCAGAAATGACAGAGCATGTCAAGCATCTAATAGGGTTTTCTGAGAAATACATACTCATTTGAAAATGATGCCAGCTACATCTCCAGACTCCCGAATTCAATCAGTTTAAGCACTGAAAAGTATCTATTTGATGGCATTGCTTGCATCATTAAATTTCTTTGTATTATTTCCCCAGAGGCAACTGAAAAATATCCATCAGATTATTTTTCTCCATAGAAAAACGTTTAGTGGTTTTACTAGCTACAGTGCAATTTTTTTTTACCTTTGGAATTTCAGCTCCCTTTTTTTTTTTTTTTTTTTAAGACGGGGTTTTGCTCTTGTCACCCAGGCTGAGTGCAATAGCGTGATCTCGCTTACTGCAGCCTCCGCCTCCTGGGTTCAAGCAATTCTCCTGCCTCAGCCTCCTGAGTAGCTGGGATTATAGGTGCCTGCCACCATGCCTGGCTAATTTTTGTATTTTTAATAGAGTCTGGGTTTCACCATGTTGGCCTGGCTGGTCTTGAACTCTTGACCTCATGATACGCCCATTTCGGCCTCCTAAAGTTCTGGGATTACAGGCATGGCCTTCAGCTCTTATTTTAATCAATAGTTTGAATTGATTTATGAAAATAAAATCATTTTCCACGGGATAAAAAGTCATGTGATAATGATTGTCAGAGGATCCATAAGAACATATCTGAAGACTGAATTTAATCTGGAAAGTGTTTATGATGTCCCTGTCAGTTGGACTTAACAATTATAATAATTAAGAATAAATAGGCCAGGCAAGGTGGCTCATGCCTATAATCCCAGCACTTTGGAAGGCTACGGCCAGAGGATTACTTGAGCCTAGGAGTTGAAGGATGCAGTGAGCTATGATTGTGTCACTACAACTCCAGCCTGGGTGACAGAGCAAGACACTGTCTCAGGGGCCGGGCGCAGTGGCTCACACCTATAATCCCAGCACTTTGGGAAGCCGAGGCGGGTGGATCACGAGGTCAAGAGATCAAGACCATCCTGATCAACATGTTGAAACACCGTCTCTACTAAAAATACAAAAATTAGCTGGGCATGGTGGCGCAGCCTGTAGTCCCAGCTACTTGGGATGCTGAGGTAGGAGAATTGCTTGAACCCAGGAGGCAGAGATTGTGGTGTGCCGAGATCGTGCCATTGCACTCCAGCCTGGGTAACAAGAGTGAAACTCCATCTCAAAAAAAAAAACGCACTGTCTCAAAATAAAAATCAAATGGGCTGGGCGCGGTGACTCATGCCTGTAATCCCAGTACTTTAGGAGGCCAAGGCGGGTGGATCACTAGGTCAGGAGTTCAAGATTAGCCTGACCAACATGGTGAAACCCTTTCTTTACTAAAAATACAAAAATTAGCCAGGCATGGTGGCATGCACCTGTAATCCCAGCTATGAAGGAGGCTGAGGCAGGAGAATTGCTTGAATGCGGGAGGCAGAGGTTGCAGTGAGCCAAGATCTCTCCATAGCATTCCAGCGTGGCAACAAGAGCGAAACTTTGTCTCAAAAAAAATAAAATGAAAAAAGAAACAGCTAGGCCAGCTGTGGTGGTGTGTGCCTATAGTCCCACCTTCTTGGGACACTGAGGCAGAAGGATCGCCTGGACCCAGGAGTTCAAATCTGGCCTGAGCAACATCGTGAGAACTCATCTCTTTAAAAGTAAAATAGGTATTTTAAATATATATATCTAAAGTGATGATGTTTTGAATGATTGCTTCATGTGTTGGGGTCTGAATCTTAATATCTTTAAATTAGACAAATTCTATTTGAAAAAATTAATGCTTTAGTATTAGTAATATTCAGTATGTTCTTATAAAGACATTTAAGGCTGGGTGCAGTGGCTCATGCTTGTAATCCTAGCACTTTGGGAGGCCAAGGCAGGTGGATCACTTAGGCCCAGGAGTTCAAGACCAGCCTGGGCAACATGGCAAAACCCTTTCTTTACAAAAATACAAAAATTAGCCAGGTGGCTGCTTTGCTGAGTGGTGGTGGGTGCCTTTAGTCCTAGCTACTCAGAAGGCTGAGGTAGGAGGATCACCTGATCCAAGGAGGTTGAGACTGCAGTGAGCTGTGATCGTGCCACTGCACTTCAGCCTGAGTGACAGAGTGAGACCCTGTCTCAAAAATAAGTAAAGTAAAAACAGTAATTTAAAACATTTTAATGAACTAATAGCTTATTGTAGTTTAAAACCCAAGAATTTGATTCAGCACTGACTAGACAGGGTGTGGGGACTTTGAAAACTAATAATTGTAAGTGATTTAGTCTTTAGGCAGCACTGCTGGCAAGCTAAGTACATGTGAAGGATAGAACCACTATCAGCTTCTAGAATGGTTAGAGTAATATCCTTTGAAAGGAGTTTTTATATTATTTTGTAAAGAAAAAATTCTAACATATAAAAGGAAGTAAATTATGAACTTTTTGATTCTTTCTAAATTACTAGGAAAAGATCAAATTCTGGTACATGATGTGCATTAGACTCAAATTTAGGGTCTGGTAAAGTTGGTGCTACTCCTATGACATTTGGAGGAGGTATGGAGCAGCGTGATTACTTGGCTGGGTCATGAGCCTTGAGATTTGCAGAGATTATGTGTAGACATGCTCATCACAGTTCTCCTCATATGTAAGATGGCAAAGAGAAGTTAATCAGACTCCTCATAAAATCAGGTCTCTAGTGCTGCGCTCTACCAATAAGCATTGAGCCATGCCATAAGAGTGATAGACCAAATGGAACACTAATGGCCTAAAAAGAGAATGTCCCCTCTAAGCTGCTAACTTATTGCGTAGGCACAACTCAGGCGGTGGGGAGAAAGCCCATTACAGATGAAGAGCTCTTGCTTCCCTCAAGGGGAATAAGCTAAAGAGATTCCATCAGATGAGTGTGCTCAACTGCAACGAGGTCTGTTTTATAAACATCAGATCCAGCCTAATAATGTAGCAGAATTGCTCTCGGAAATGAATTTTGCCAACAGCAATATTTTGACAGTGATGAGAAATAGATATTGCACATAAAATGGAATAAATGTGCAGACCCATAGATACAGTAGGGTCACCGTTTGTAATATTGGGTTACTAGAAAGAATAATAGAAGAGACTGTAGTCATTATTACTGGGGAGAAGGACCAAGGATATTTAGGTTGGAAAAATGTTGCCATTGAGGTTTGAGAAGAGAGAAGTGCCAGTAAATACCAAGTCTTAAAGGGAAACACCAAAAATAGAATTCTGAAATAGTTGTCTCACTATTATTTACTTTACCTTGATATTAATGTGTTTTCCTTTTTCCTAACAGGTGAATTTTTCCTGAAAAATCTAGTGACTAAAAGAAAAACAAAAGCCTCCTAAAACTTCAACAAGACCTTCAAGATCACAGAAATTTTTTAAAATTTGATTCCAGTTAATAACAGAGGTGGCATCAGAATGCCTGGACTGTAGTAGGTGTACCCCTTCTCTTTGCTTTAAAAAAAAAAAGTCAGTAGCCAAGCACGGTGGCTCGCGCCCGTAATCTCAGCACTTCAGGAGGCCGAGGCAGATTACCTCTGGTCAGGAGACCAGCCTGGCCAACATGGTGAAACCCCATCTTCAACTTAGCTGGGCATGGTGGTGGGTGCCTGTAATCTCAGCTACCTGGGAGGCTGAGGCAGGAGAATCGCTTGAACCTGGGAGGTGGAGGTTGCAGTGAGCCAAGATTGCTCCATTGCCCTCCAACCTGGGTGACAAGAACAAGACTCTGTCTCAAAAAAATAAATAGGAAAAAAAAGTCAATAAACTGTACAGATTTAATTATAGTAATTCACTTGGCTTTTAGTATATCTTCTTTGTCCCAATAGAGTTGCTATGATGTAATCTTAAAATATCTTTAGGCCAGGCACGGTAGCTCAAGCTTGTAATCCCAGCACTTTGGGAGGCCGAGGTGGGTGGATCACGAGGTCAAGAGATCGAGACCATCCTGGTCAACATGGTGAAACCCCATCTCTACTAAAAACACAAAAAATTAGCTTGGCATGGTGGCATGTGCCTGTGATCTCAGCTACTCAGGAGGCTGAGGCAGGAGAATTGCCTGAACCCAGGAGGTGGAGGTTGCGGTGAGCCGAGATCACGCCATTGCACTCCAGCCTGGGTAACAAGAGCGAAACTCCGTCTCAAAAAATAAATAAATAAATAAAAAATAAAATATCTTTGTAAGAATTTTCTGTTAACATACTTTTAAAATGCATTAAAAACTTCCAGAGACAGGGCATGGTGGCTCACACCTATAATCCCAACACTTTGGGAGGCCAAGGCAGGTGGATCACTTGAACCCAGGAGTTTGAGACCAGCCTGGGCAATGTGATGAGACCCCATCTCTACAAAAGAAATGTTTTAATTGGCCAGTTGTGGTGGCATGTACCTGTAGTCCCAGCTACTCAGGCTAGGGTGAGAAGATCACTTGAACCTGGGAAGCGGAGGTTGCAGTGAGCCCAGATCGTACCACTGTACTCCAACCTGGGCGACAGAGTGGGACCATGTCAAAAAAAATTTTTTTAAGTAATGTATATCTTTATAGATCCTAGTAAATTTTGAGATGTAAAGTTAACCCTACCAACATTTTTTTCTTTTCTGTTGAGATGAGAGTCTCACTGTCAGGCTAGAGTGCAGTGGTGCCATCCCAGCTCACTGCAACCTTCGTCTCCTGGGTTCAAGTGATCCTCTTGCGTCAGCCTGCCAGGTACCTAGGATTACTGCTCACACCACCACACCCCGCTAGTTTTTTGTATTTTTAATAGAGATAGGGTTTCACCATGTTGGCCAGGCTGGTCTCGAACTCCAGGCCTCAAATGACCTGCCTGCCTTGGCCTCCCAAAGTGCTAGGATTACAGGCATGAGCCACCACTGGGCCTAACCCTACCAACTTAAAATAGAAACATCAAAGCTACCTTAACTTATAGGAAAAAAAATTGATTAATTTTCAGCCTAATTTTGTGACGTACCAGATATTACCTAATACTTGGGCCTTTTGCACAGTGTAGGCCAATGGTAATGAAACATTTATTATCAGGAGAATCATTTGGTCAAATAAAATTCTCAGCCAGGCGTGGTGGCCACGCTTGTAATTTTAACACTTTTGGAGGCCGTTGCAGGCAGATCACCTGAGGTCAAGAGTTTGAGATCAGCCTAGCCAACATGGCCAACCCAGTCTCTACTAAAAATATGCAAAATTAGCCGGGTGTGGTGGCACATGCCTGTAGTCCCAGCTACTCGGGAGGCTGAGGCATGAGAATCTCTTGAACCCAGGAGGCAGAGGTTGCAGTGAGCCAAAATTGTGCCACTGCACTCCAGCCTAAGCAACACAGTGAGACTGTCTCAAAATAAATAAATAAATAAATGGGCCAGCGCAGTGGCTCATGCCTGTAATCCCAACACTTTGGGAGGCCGAGGCAGGTAGATCAGGAGTTCAAGACCAAACTTGCCAACATGGTGAAACCCATCCCTACTAAAAAATAACAAAAATTAGCAGAGCATGGTGGCTCATGCCTGTAATCCCAGCTACTTGGGAGGCTGAGGTAGGAGAATTGCTTGAACCTGGACTCAGGAGGCAGAGGTTGCAGTGAGCTGAGATTGTGCCACTGCACTCCAGCCTGGGATACAGAGTGAGACTCCATCTCTAAATAAATAAATAAATTAAATAAATAAATAAATAAATGAAATGAATTTCTCATGGAACAAACTTCAATGTAAAATAATTAAAATGACATTTTATTAGCACAGTGTATGTTAAAGTTTCAGATTTATAACACTAAATAAAAACAGGGAATAAGTAAAATGAAGCTATTTTGATGCACACACAAAATTGGGATTTATGGATAACAGTTGCAGTCTTCAGCCTCGAAAGTCTATTTATTTGTTTTGGTTGCACAGTATTGAGAACAATTCTAACATAGCTAAGTAATAGTAAATTTCAATTAATATGGTAGCTTAAAAAGAAAAATAATAATAGTAAATAATTTCTTTTAAATGTTAAAACACCTCATCTTGGAATCTCCAGATACTTTCCAGTTAAATTTAATACAGAAACTTGAAAGAAGAAAGAGGAGTAGCAGGAGATTTTTTTTTTTTTTTGAGATGTAGTCTCCCTCTGCCATCAGGCTGTATTGTCATGACACGATGTCAGCTCACTGCAACCTCCACCTCAAGTGATTCTCGTGCTTCAGCTTCCTGAGTAGCTGGGATTACAAGCATGCACCACCATGCCCGGCTAACTTTTGTGTTTTTAGTAGATAAGGGTTTCGCCATGTTGCCCAGGCTGCTCTTGAACTCCAAGGCTCAGGCGATTCACCCATCTCAGCCACCCGAAGTGCTGGGATTACAGGCATGAGCCACTGCACCTGGCCACGAGATGTTTGTTTCAAAGTAGAATCACAGATGTCACCGGGCGCGGTGGCTCAAGCCTGTAATCCCAGCACTTTGGGAGGCTGAGGCGGGTGGATCACGAGGTCAAGAGATCGAGACCATCCTGGTCAACATGGTGAAACCCCGTCTCTACTAAAGATACAAAAAATTAGCTGGGCATGGTGGCATGTACCTGTAATCCCAGCTACTCAGGAGGCTAAGGCAGGAGAATTGCTTGAACCCAGGAGGCGGAGGTTGCGGTGAGCCGAGATCGCGCCATTGCACTCCAGCCTGGGTAACAAGAGCGAAACTCCGTCTCAAAAAAAAAAAAAAGAATCACAGATGTCTTCATTTGCGATTTATTCACTTGTTATAGCATACCTGACCATCATATCATGACTAAGATGTTTGTAACCAAATGCTTCTAATGTTCTTGCTGGACATTAGAGTGTGATGAACATGTCCTATAGAATTGTGTACTCCCTTACACAATTACGTAAGAATGGGGTCAGGCATGGTGATTCATGCCTGTAATCCCAGCACTTTGGGAAGCCAAGGTGGGAAGATCACCTGAGGTCAGGAGTTCAAGACCAGCCTGGCCAACGTGGTGAAACCCCGTCTCTACTAAAAATACAAACAGTCTGGCATGGTGGCACATGCCTGTAATCCCAAATACTTGGGAGGCTGAGGCAGGAGAATCACTTGAACCCAGGAGGCAGAGGTTGCAATGAGCCAAAATTGTGCCACTGCAATACAGCCTGGGCAAGAGAATGAAACTCCATCTCCAAAAAAGAAAAAAAAAAAAAAAAGAATGGCAGACTTGAATTTTTAATTTAATTATTATTACTTTTTGAGACAGAGTCTCACTCTGTCACCAGGCGCCAGGCTGGAGTGCAGTGGCGCAATCTCGGCTCACTGCCACCTCCACCTCCCAGGTTCAAGCAATTCTCCTGCCTTAGCTTCCCGAGTAGCTGGGACTACAGGCGTGCACCACTATGCCCAGCTAATTTTTGTATTTTTTTAGTAGAGACAGGATTTCACCATGTTGGCCAGGATAGTCTCAATCTCTCGAACTCATGACCCGCCCACCCTGTCCTCCCAAAGTGCTGGGATTACAGGCTTGAGCCACTGTGCCCGGCCTTTAATTTAATATTTTTATGATTTTATTTTAGATGGAATTTCACTCTTATTGCCCAGGCTGGGTTCAAGCAATTCTCCTGCCTCAGCCTCCCGAGTAGCTGGGATTACAGGTATGCACCACCATGCCCAGCTAATTTTGTATTTTAGTAGAGATGGGGTTTCTCCATGTTGGCCAGGCTGGTCTCGAACTCTAGACCTCAGGTGATCCACCCACCTAGGCCTCCCAAAGTGCTGGGATTACGGACATAAACCACTGAGCCTGGCCTAATTTTATTTTTCATTAAGATGGAGTCTCTCTATCGCCTAGGCAAGAGTGCAGTGGTGTGATGCTGGCTCGCTGCAACCTCCGCCTCCCAGGTTCAAGCGACTCTCATGCCTCAGCCTACCGAGTAGCGGGAATTACAGGCGCCCACCACCACACCAGGCACAGCTAGTTTTTATATTTGTAGTAGAGACAAGGTTTTGCCATGTTGGCCAGGCTGGTCTCAAACTCCTGATCTTAGGTGATCCACCTGCCTCAGCCTCCCAGAGTATTGGGATTATAGGCATGAGCCACAGTGCCTGGCCCAGATTTGAATTTTTAAAGCAGTGAGCTATGATTACACCACTGCACTCAAGCCTGAGCTACAAAGCGAGACTCTGTCTCTAAAAAAATAAGAAATGAAAATATAAAAAAGATGCATTCATAAGAAGTACATTTATTCAGCTGGGCGCAGTGGTTACACCTGTAATCCCAACACTTTGGGAGGCAGAGGCAGGTGAATCACCTGAGGTCAGGAGTTGGAGACCAGTGTGGCCAACATGGCAAAACCCTGTCTCTACTAAAAATACAAAAATTAGCTGGACATGGTGGCATGTGCCTGTAATCCCAATTACTCAGGAGGCTGAAGTAGGAGAATCGCTTGAACATGGGAGGCAGGGGTTGCAGTAAGCCAAGATTGCACCACTGTACTCCAGCCTGGGAAACAAAGAAAGACTCCATCTCAAAAAAAAAAAAAAAAAAAAAAGATGAAGAAGAAGAAGCAGTGAATTTAATCCAGGCACAGTGGCTAACGCCTTGGGAGGCCAAGGCAGGCAGACACCTGAGGTCAGGAGTTCAAGACCAGCCTGGCCAACAGGTGAAACCCGTCTCTACTAAAAATACAAAAATTAGCCAAGTGTGGTGGTACATGCCTATAATCCCAGTTACTCAGAGGCTGGGGCAGGAGAATCGCTTGAACCCAGTAAGCAGAGGTTACAGTAAGCTGAGATCACGCCACTGCACTCTAGCCTGGGCAACAGAGCAAGACTCTGTCTCAAAACAACAACAAAACCCAAAACAGTGCACCGACATAGCAGAAAGTCT